TATAAATCAAAGTAAGGAAGTATTTAAAAAAAACATTAGTTCAAACATTAGTTAAATAAAACTAGATGTCGCTACGATACTTTCTTGATATGTCCATGACAACCCTTCCGGTTTTCATTCATGTTTAAAACTAATTTATTTTCAAAACCTATTAAACAACTCATATTCTATTTGTATCGATATCTAAGTTTCGAACTTTGCAAATTTCAGTTTTTTAATATGTCAGTTAAAAGGAACGGAAATGGCTGTCTTTGGTCCATTCGTTTCCTACAAAAATCAACTTTTGGTAGAGTCACTATCTAGTGAGGTGCTATTTTAGTGCTTTCTTATTTTCTTAAATTTGCTTGGAGGACTTTTAAACTCTCAGTTGTTTTTTTCGAGCTTAAATTGAGGAGATTTTGTGTGAACTAATGAAAATAACATTGAGGTTAATATATAATGAATAAATCCCATGTAATAGGTGACCTGTTTAGTACAGATACCTATGGTATCTTTTACAGGCTCCAGTCTCTCACATTTAGTTTAAATTTAAGTATGTATAATTAAAAATATTATTTAATATTGTACTATTGTGAAGAGAAAAAAATAAATGGATATTATATTAAAAAAATACAATACAATATCGCCATTCATTTGCAAATGTCGATCAGCTGAGTCAGCATCGCAACGTTCTTCTACAGTTCGGCTGTACAAAGTCCAGGGAACTGGTTAACTGCCAAGGATCACAAAACCAAACCCAATTATACAACAAAAAGCTACAGTTATTTATTGTTAATCTATTTGTACCAATAAATACATTTTTATTATTCATTTATTTTTATTTAAGGTACAGTAACAGCAACACGTGTACTGACTAATGTTCAATATGTTTCAGATCTAAGGTTTCCGTAGGTACTTTACCTCTGAAAATCTACGCAAAATTCTTTGAACAAAATGATAACGCAGCTAAGTATAGCAAAGCTTAACTATTTCACATCACATTGCATTTATTTGTAGTCTTTTTTAAAATTCAAATTAAATACTAAGGTCTAAATTATGCAAGTCAAATCATTATAGAAATATCAAGGTGATTAAGTATTTCAACAATGTCAGGAAGATTATTTTAATAATTCATATTAATCAATTATGCCACGAAGTCAATTAAATTACATTATTACAAATTTAATTATAAAAATATTTTAAAATTCAACCTTGACCAAAACAGTGCGATTTAGATATATACTTAACGCCATCTAGTATAGCTCAAAATATATAGTTTGTCTTTTGTTGTAGTTTTCGGCATAAAATAAAACCTTCCTACCTTCCTAGGGTCGTAAACTACCCAAATACCAATTTTCATCGATATAGATACAAAATTAAAGAAGTTTTTTACAAACGTTTTTACCCTTTTTAGCCCTCTTCGGGATGGAATTTCCGAAAATCCGTACAATTCTTAGTACACCTCTACGTAATAAGACGAATCTACCCTCCAAATTTCAAGTCTCTGCGACTCTGGCTTTTTGAGTTTAGGCTGTACGTTGTATGTCAGTCGGTATGTCAGGACATGTCCTTTTATATATGTAGGTATAGATTAAGGATATCTAGAAATTTTGTGCCTATTCTTCTTTTCTGGATAAAAAGTTCCAATTAAAAAAATAATTGCCGAATCGAAAGTTTCAAGTGACGCATTCATGCGTTAGGTACAACAGTAGTACATATCTGTGAGATAGGCGATTGGACAGCTATGAAATAAAAAAATAACTTGTGTCTGACTAAAGTATCCTTAAAGTTAAAAAAATATTCGCCGAATATTTTTGCTAACAATTAATATTTATTTTTAAATCAATAAAACAAATGTAACAGTTTACTTAATAAACTGTCCTTGTTTTGAATTCTTTTTTTAATACAAATAGATTTAAAGAAAAATATAATTAAAAATAGTTGAAGGTACAATGTTAACAATTGTACTATGGAGGTAGGCAGACATAGGAGCGCAGCGCGGCTCATAGTGGTGGCATAGTATTTAAAATGACTTCTCGCGAGTCCAATTTTCATTGTGATTTGATTATTTCAAATTGTGTGTAAGTGCTAAATAACCCCGAAATCGGGTGAGTGTTCTATTCATTTAATTTTTGCTGCTCGCTTATAAGTTTATTACCTTAGAGTATTTTATTTTTAAAATCACAAGTCCAATAAGTAACTTCTAAATTCTAAATCTGTTTCGCTGTTTTATAATGTTTATTCATTGTTCATTGAATATTATTACTGAGGTAAAAATCCAGTTCTTAACCTAATGTTTGATAATATTTTTATTCTATTTCGATAAAGGTGAAATAGATATTTAAGGAAAGAAGTATTATAAAATTGTTGCTATACTTAAAGTAATAACATTCATAAAACAATATATTGAAACAGAACGGAGTTCTGAGACTATGCAAAATTAACATTTTATTATTTTTCTACCTTACAGATTTCATATTTAATTTTGTCTGCTAAATTAAATATATAATTAAATATAATCGATACATTGTCCGAATGCTAGTTATTTCAGTTTCAATTCGTGATTTGTTTCCATCTCAGGTTCGATTCCCGGGTTGTGCTATAAATAATTTTGATAACCTTGAAATTTAGATGATTTTAAAGGGAACACTTAGTGTCTTCATTTTACTTGAAGTACAGGTTCGATTCCCGTATAATATAATATATTAGTAATTGTATTTTTTTAACTTACAGATTATTATCATAGTATCTGTTATTTTAACTTCTACATGAAGACACAATTTTTCAATAATTGTAGTCTGTGTCTCACGTCAAATGAAACACCAATCAGCAAGCGCGCGTGACATCATTTGTGAGTAAATCGTAGTAAATAATTCTAGGAAAAATCCGGGAAACATTCAAAATGCATAATAATTTATAACAAATGTTTTTTATTATTATTTTTAGCAGGCTCAAGGGTCAGTTTATTGTTTTATATATTTGTGAGTTTAAATTAAAGTACTGCAGACGATGATTAATTTTTTTATTCACTGAATATCCCTTTTAACCCCACAAATGACGTCACGTCGCCGTTTGCCGTTTTTTTAAGCAGTCTAATTTTAATCATTTTTCACAAATCATTTTTTTTGTGGGAATAAACGTCCATAATTATTAATTTATATTACTTTTTAGAAAGTTGTCCGATCCCCTATTGTAGTTAGGTATTGACATAGCACCGATGTGTTGAGGTCACCGGTCATTTGCCCCTCTCACCGCTGCACCACAGTGTAAATATAAGTAGACAGTGGTGAAACTGCCTACAAGCGTTCGAAATCGCACGCACACATAAACACGCTCACCGACGAGCCGCCTAAGTGGACCTAACAGGACGCTCAGTAACGCGTATCGCGTCGTCACGTTACACGTACCGCGATCGTTTTTATTTAAAAAATGAAGGAAAGATTAAGGAAAGGAGTAGGCTTATGTGAAATAAAAAATAAGTTTTTCTTTTTTATTTTGATGTTTTTTTAAATACCCGTTTCAGTATCATGCATATTTTCGGGTTGAAACGTAGTACGGTCCCACCCGAAAATGCTTGATAAACACCCAAAAACAGCCGCTCATGAGCGCGCCACCTAAATGCAGTGCCTACCTACCACGCGTCCGATCCGAAGAGAGAGTCCGCTCTTCGGCTATGTGTCCCTCAAAACTTGTAAAAGGTTATGCCGTAATGTCAAGTTAAAGATCAACATAAAAACAAAGATTTACAAGTTGTGTCAATATCAAACAATTTCTCGTATGTTAAACTATCGTCTTTTGCTGAGATTAACCGATTTTTAACCGACTTCAAAAAATGAAGGTTATCAATTTGACCTGTGCGTATGATATATTTCCAGAACTGCCCAGTTTTTGCATATGTTATTTCTATATCATGTGGTGATATAGAATAATATAAGTAGATATCACCGTCTGAACAAATGTGTATGTATATTTTTTGTTTGTTAATTAGTTATTACAATTCGATTGATTAATAATGTCAGAACTCCTTTTATATTTTGTAAAAGAAACATTCAAAATGACAACCCTATGGTTTCAATGGAGCGTAGGTATTTATTTTATCAAATAGGCTTAGTTTCTATACTGTGTCATACTTATACTGTGACTGCACGGCACGACACGAGTATAATACCTACACTCAATACGCAAATACTCATGTGAAAGTCAAAGAAACTAGAGAGTCATGTTTGGTGACAAAGTTTCACTGCTTTGTTTCTAAGTAGTTTCTCTTGATCGATCATTATTATGGACGGAGTGAACGCAGATAAATATAATACTATAAACATATAAGTATAGTTAAGTATAAGGCTATGGAGATTCCCACGCACCCCCTGCCGCCTGTTGAGCGGCTGGGACAGAGCTTAAAGCGTGAAAAAATGCTACCACAATATGTTAAATTTCCTCAATTGATTTAAATATCTACCTCAATGTATTAAAGTTTAAAATCAAATGGAGATATTTTACCGTATTGTATAGCTTCAAGTGCTCTTAACTGTGCCTAAGCGTAGACAATATACACCATTAACAAGATTTAACATTTTCTGAATACATACCTCTGAATTACTTATATGGCATGTTCATAGACAATATTTCTAAAAATGAGCAGTGGATTCATTTATATCGAATAAATATAATCTCGGATATATTTTCATTACAATAGTATAACGCTATTTTATATTAAGTATTTATTTTAAAACAGCAAAATTATTTAAATAATAAAAATAGGTATTAATTATGTTAAATTTGTGATTTAAATGAATTAGGAACGAAAAATGAAATTAGTGTAAGTCCATGCGTAAGTCTATTTGTGTTGTGTTAGACTTGATTTCAACATAATAGTGAGAATATTCACATGGAACGTTGCTATTGTTATTAATTGACCTCAAAAAATTGGTTACGTATGGGCTTCGGAGGCCTTGTAGCTGATCACCGCAGTATTTTTAGTGATACCTTCACTTAATTGGTCGTTTTCAATTTTGTTTCAGAATAAGATGAGGAGTCTGTTGATATTGTTCGTGTTGGCGGTATGCTACGGGGTCCTCGCCAAAAACAAGAAACCCGATGATAGAGTACGTATACAAATACTTATATCTACTTAATAAAAATCATCCAAGAAGTGAGTCAACTTAATTACAGGTTCATTAGCTATCACAAAACACTCTACAATATCAAGGAGAAACAAAACAATACAAGCTATAATGGAAACATTACAACAGATGAAGGAATACAGAAGAAATATTTGCATTCTTATGCAAATGGAAAATGGGGAAAAATCCTTGATAAATATAGAATTAATAAGAGCATCGGCAATACGAGGAACAAAAATATTCTACAACATCTAGAATATTTACAACCCGGGAAGTCCATCGCAGTATTTTTCAAAGTTACTCCACTAAAGTCTTAACCATATTTCAGCAAATGATCGGAGTTCCAATGTTAGATATTAAAGAACGACTACTGAGAGCATCACTATATGGTAATTGTAATAAGGACATCCTTATCTGTCACTTAGTTGATGTGTTGACGTATGATGAGATTCGCGCCAATAATATAAAAATGAGATGTGTTTTACACATAGCGATATAAGTCCTACAAGTGACAATACATAAATGTTACGTGTTCGGAAAATATAAGTTAAAAAACGAAAAAACATTAATTTGGAAATTGTTACGTTTAGCAAACTTGATAGGATTATTTTTATATTACATTTTCTTATTAATATTATACTTTCATTATTAAAATAATTAATATAAACGCACAAAGATTCGTTTTTCGCTAGTGTACCAAAGCGTGATATCAACTGAGATGTATATTTTCCGTATCAGTTTGCAGTTTCTTATTAATATAATAATAACATAAACTGCAGTTGTTTTTTCTCTAAGTATCGATTAATTGCTGTTATTATTTATTGTATTTTGCAGGTGAAGATAGCTGTGTATTACGAGTCGCTGTGCCCCGACAGCAAGAAATTTATAACGGAACAATTGGCGCCTGTGTGGCACGAACTGCGCGGCGCTATCAAAGTCAAACTTGTGCCGTATGGAAAGAGCACGGTTAGTAGTAATAGTGACGGGACCTTAGTTCATCGATAGTATAGATATTCGATGAATCGAGAAATCGTTGTTCGCCATCAATTTTATATAGAACTTTATGCAATTAAAGGAAAGGGTGCTTCCCTTTAATTTTTTTACGTAATAATAATAAAAATAATTATCAAACAGAAGGAGGCGATATTTACTTTTTCTTTTATATTTTTCGGTAAAAACATGTTGAGATAAATTATCTAGAATTTGTGTGAAAAATGACGAATTCGTGGACAGCGACGTCGTTGCTCCCACGTCGTCGCCTTCCCTTTCCTAAACTCGTTCATTAATTTATACATCGAGCGTAAGCGTTTACATTATACTTCGTAACCACACAACATTGAAAATTTTATCAGTACAATATTTCGAAGTGAAAACCTGACCCACCCATTTTTTTTATTCAAAAAACCTTCCTGTATATTGTTGTTATATATGTTCCGTTCCTCCCATTTGTTATGGCATGTTTTTAAAATGAAATTGTTTCATATGAGTATAAAGTTTTATTCGAGTATAATCATAAATTTAATTTCATTACAGCACAGCCAGGGTGAAGATAAATGGAATATCATGTGCCACCACGGACCCGATGAATGTCATGGAAACAAGGTTAGCACATAAAGATGTCGATATGAACGATTATATTATATTAGCTCCATAGAGTATATTATCCTTTATGCTGGACACGTACATATCAGACTACCAGAAAATGTGCACTTTGTTGTAAAAAATATAATTACTTGGAGAAAATCAAATTTGTGTTACCTGCCCTGCGATTCTGTAAAAATCCAGACCCGAATTCGAATTCACTCATGTCTTGTCATTAATATACTATTAAATATTAATATTAAAATACCGCAGGGCTGATGTGCTAACACAGTTTCATTCGCATACGTATTTATGTAAATAAAGGTACCTGTCGCTCCGCCACTGTTAGACGATGTATCGTATGCGATCAATCGCTGATATTTGTAGTGATTCTTCTAATTCTACTTGGGGCCGTCCATTAATTACGTGATGCTTTATTTAAACATTGTGGTTGTCTCCAGGTGCAAGCTTGCATCCTGAGGAACCACAGCCTCCTGGACACGGATAAGATGGCCCTGATCATCTGCCTCATGGGACAAGCGCAACCTGACAAGGCACTGGACACTGTGAGTTATTTTATCTGTTTACACCTTTATAATTATACTTGATGTCGACCCGCGACTTCGTATGCGTAGATTATATCCTATCTCAACTCCGTATGATGTAGGTACCCGTAGGTGAGAGAATATTTAAAATCAGTCCAGTAGTTCCGGAAATTATTCGATGCAAACAAACAAACAATCAAAGCTTTTCACCTTAATAATATAAGTATAATGTTTTTTTTTTATAATTTTTATGTACTTTTCAATTAGTGGTCAATCACTTTTTTATGAAAATATTGATATGTCTGATATTAAGGCCAATTGGCTACTCGAACGTTAAATTATTATATATGTTGGAAATTAAAACTGATATGTAGTGTTTTATGTTTTAAAATAAATTGTAAGTATATTTTATTTGTGCAAAATTTACTTGCAATTTATGATCTTCAAATATCAACGACATCTCTGTTGCGAGCTCAACAAGTACTCTTGTTTATTGATATGTGACGTCACAGCTCTAAAATATCACGTGACTGATTGTTCTTGCGGCGCAATTTATATGACCGTATAGAATTTTTAAACACTTTTCCAAAACAATCAAGTAGCCAAATCTGTCTATGAATCGAAAAACACTTTCTGAATTGAAAAAACTTTTATTTAATGTAATCATTATTGATTCTGATTTTACTTATTTATAACAAATTGTGTTTTTTTTATTAGATTCTATTTATATATTTTTTCTACATTTTTTATCGTAAAAAAGTACCCTGTTAAATATCAAAAATAAAAATGAAGCAATAACAATTATAATAATAATAAATATATCGCATGTCACGTGCAGTGTTTAGCTCAGGTGAAGAAGGAAAGTGTAACGGAGAGGTTGAAGCACTGCTCGGACGGGCCGGAGGGCGACGCCATCCTCGCCAATAACGGAGACAAGACCGCGCGCGTGCAGCGACCGCTCGCATTCGTGCCCACCATCATCATCAACGAGGTAAACACGGCACACGGCACACGGCACTGCCACACAGCACACCGGCGACGATAACGACTCTAGAAATATATGAAGACACTCTTTCTCTGATGATATTTAAATTAGTTATTGATATTCAAAAAAGGAATTCCTAAATATTATTTACTTACCGATATCCTTAAAAAGTTTTTCATTTTTTTTTTTAATACGTCCGAAGAACGAAATCTAAAGACGCATAAAAGTTGGACGTCATGTTCTACGCTAAAGCTCACAATAATGGAAACACATGAGGAGAGTGCCATGGTATCAACAGATCGCCAATCGGTAGAAAAATATTAGATAATTTTTTTTGCTTCAATTTAACTTGTAGCTATTATAACTTACAAAACAGGCATCAAAGTTGGGAAGTGGAGGCTCGCAATGTATCTCCGTAATTAACTTATTATTCTTCAATAATTTACCTGACGCACAGACAAAATTTAGCCATCATCCTTATTACTAGGACATCCATAGTAACTATACGACGACCTGTCAAAAATATCATTGCGAGTATTATCACACGTTCACGATACGTTTTAGTATAGTTTAATGTGTATATGTCTGGCAGTCATCCTATAATTCTGTTGCAATTTTTCAAATATCGATAACTTCATCGAATGACATACTCACATCCCTATCTGTTACTTGATTTTTTTTTATAATTCCGTCGGTCCCTATGTTCCATTAAATTATTATTTTCACTCAACACGAGTTTATATTTGATTTTGAAATATAAAATATTAAATGTATGTATTCAGTATATATTGTTTATGTTTTCCACAGAAATTCGACCAAGCCAACCAAGACGAGGCGTTGACCAACCTGAAAGCGGTCGTGTGCCGCAACGCCGTCACCAAGCCGGCCAGCTGCTGATTTTATAATATTTGTATTAAATAAATAAAAATATTTTTTAAGACATAACAAATAAATTATTTTTATAGAAACACTGTTCAATTTATTTAGCACCAATATCTTTGTTCTGACACTTTTAGATGAAGTAGATGTTGACTAATTTCCAATTTTAAAATTCTGTAACTAGTAATGTAATGTTTACAAGGTTCAAAAATCCTATGAACAATTGAACATCCATTTTCTTTTTATTTTATCGACAATTAAATATTTTTTCTTTTTTTTTTTTGCTGGAGTTGTAGTAAAGTAGTTAATTATTTTAAACCAATGGGGTAGCGTGCCTTGGAGGGGAAAAATTTGTTTGGCTTATGAAGGGTAATTTATCTCGAAAGAAAAAAAATATATAAACTATGCAACTTTTAATCGTATTGTATCGATCGATCAGCCTATTTAATTGACCGAAGCACCGAACCCGTAACAGTATGTGTACATCGATTATTGTAGGATTCCCCAGTTGAAGTTGACTTTAACGAAGAAATCCCGCAGCTCGCGAAAACCGATGTACGGTGTTGCTAACTTTGAAACGCACGTTTTACGCGGGAAAAAATAAATTGCTTTTTTTGACTTTTGTCATTAATTAAAGAGTAAAAAAAGTATTAAATGTAGTATTTTGATTGTATTACAGTTTTGTTTTATATAGCACATGGTCACCAGAACTTTTCACCCTGGAAAGAGGTCATGTATTCAAAAAGTTGGAGAAACATATACGAGCCTATTCACCCACAGAACTAGTTATAAAACCTTTGTAAAAAAACAGCTTAAAAGTCCACGTTTTCGGCTAAAATAATGATGATTATGATCATATTTTCTTTCTCGCTAAGAGTTATTTTAAACATGAAATCGAATCTTAATAATCATTTATGTATTAATTTTATAGAATAAAAACGTGTGGTAGTACTAGTTCTGCTGCTATAGATTTACGAAGCAATGACATAGCTTTTGACTTTGCAAGTGCTCATAACAGCCTAGGCTCTAGGCTGAATTAATTGCATTGAATGAGGAAGTATTAAAAAAAACGAAAGCACTAAAAAAGCACATCCATTAGATGTGATTCTAGCAAAAGTAGATTTTTGCAGGAAACGAATGGATCAAAGACAGTCATTTCCGTTCCTTTTAACAAACATATTAAAAAACTGAAATTTGAAAAGTTCGAAACTTAGATATCAATACGAAAAAGTAAAAATAGAATATGAGTTGTTTATTGAGTTTTGAAAATTAATTTACTTTTAAACATGAAAGAAAACCGGAAGGGTTGTCATGGAGAAATCAAGAACGTACCGTAGCGACATCTAGTTTGATTTCGGGAACTAGTTTTTTTTTTAAATACTGCCTCATTAGAGTTGTGGTTCAATAACGGTCAATCGAAGCCTGTATATATGATTCTTTTGTATCCATGTTTACCGGATACAGTGTTATTTCATTATTCAGTTATGATTGACAACGTTCTCCACAACGAGAAAAAAAAAGAAAATAAAAGTCGTCGATGGTGAATGAAACAAAATTATTCGATCAAATATTTATATTTACAAATGCCGTAAACATATTCACAACGTACACAATGTACACCATATATACAATACACAGACTGTTATATACACACTAGCGCCAAAAAAAGTTTGAATAAAAATTAACGGCGAAATTTATAATTTCACTCATAATTAAATTTAACACATAGCGTTTATATAATATAATTGAATTTCTGTTACCATAAAATACTATTAATTAACGTTATTTATAAACCTAAATTAATATCGATATAAATTGATAAAAACAATTAACTTAATATTGCGAGGCCATAACATTTTGGATAATTCTTAATACCGACGGTATGGCTGCTTGAGTTTAAATTAAAATTTATATTGACTTATTAAGCACCAAATTAATTAAAAGCCAAAGAGGTAAATGAATTAATGGAATGTTAACTTCATTGTTAGTTTTTGAAAGTACTATTACATATAATATGCTTTTAAAAATCTGATTAAGGAAATATATAATTTAGAAGATATATTAATGGCTTTGTTGTTTTAATATTACAGTAAAATAAAACATCAATTTGTAAATTCATTCATAATTGAAAAAAAAACATGGGTCATCCGGGACAAATGAAACTTCTAGAGATATATGTCAATATTTTACAAAGTCAACCAGTGAGTAGGTAAATCTGAAGAACTCTATAGGTTAAGCATATATTAATAATTAATAGTTTCATAGCCATATAAAAAATATGGGTAAGTAATTGTAGTTACAACTGGCCCATTCTCATTCGTGTTGGAACAAACATATTAATATTAAGTTTACTTTAGTGTAGGTTAAAACAGATTAATTAAAATACCGACCGAGTGAGAGTCCTACTCGCGCACAAAGGGTAAAAAAAATCACTTTTGTTGTATGGGAGCTCCCTTAAATATATATTTTATTCTGGTTAGTATTTGTTGTTGAAACGGCAAAAGATGGACATTATATGTGAAAATTTCAACAGTCTAATCTTCACGGTCTTAGTTGCCGTTTTACCCTTTGGGTACGGAACCCTAAAAAACTATTTAGTCTTACTAATTTTGAGATTCAGTGAAAAATATTTTCAATAATAAAAGTTTTTGATGATCCATTCGACAGACATAAAAAAACAGATTATAAAATATTGTTTTCTAGCCAGATCAATGTGTTTGTTAGATGTGATAGTTATTCTAAAACGTACTCGTCACCTAATTCTTATAACAGTTACAAGTTAGAAATAAACGCCAACCGGGGCGGGAATATTAGCTGATTGAACTGAACTACGGCGCTAGTGTGCACGTAAGACATCCTTATACATACATCACTACATAACAGCTGTTCTTAATCTGATCACTGGACATCGTAAAGCTTATCAAATATCATCGGAGCAGTTCAGTCTTTGCATCCAGCACATAACGCTGTAACCACCGACACTTCCTTCACGCGACACTCAAGGTAAATAGTCTTCGTCGTTCTCGTCGTCGGATACGCTGACCTTATGCTTACTCGCCTTATGCCGCTTAAGATCTGAGGGTTTCTTCGTTTTATAATCACATTTATCGCAGCAGTGCCTCTTCCCGTCTAAGCCTTTACATAACACTACATGTCTTAACGCCTCCTTCTCGACGTTAGATCTGTACCCGCACTTGGTGCACTTGAATCTGTTCTTGGCCTTATGAGATTTCAAATGATAATTCAAACTCATCTGATGTTTCGCTCTGTAGTCGCACAGATGGCACTGGTATTTCTTGTAGTCTTTATGTAGTTTCTCATGTCTCAGCAGCTGAGGTTCGCTAGAGGTCATGTAGCCGCATAACTGGCACATCAATAACACTTGAGCGTGTTCCAATCTATGTATATTATATTCGCCTCTGTCTGTCGTTCTGAAATGGCACTCTATGCAGTAGTACATGCCCCACTTGATTTTATTCACCTCCTCCGTTGAATTCTGGCTGTGCTGTTTCTTCTTTTTCATTTTCTTCATTTTCACCAGTTTCAACAGGGGCAGGTCGTCTTCGTCCGTCTCGTCTGATACTTCGACGGTGTCGATTTTGGGCTCTTGTATTATGACCTCATCCTCATCGCTGGAGGTTAACAAGCTGATCGGCTCTTTCGGCGGCACCGCGACATCGTCGTCGTCATTATCTAGATCGACGGATGCCACTTCAAATTCTTGGTCTTGGAGTATAGCATTCGGATCCACTTCCACTTGCACGCTTTCCAGGACCATCAAGCAGTCGCCAGTGGCCTCTTTATCGACAGACAATTCGATAAACACGGGATCAGAGTTGATCGGACAACTTTCCTCTAAATTATTCGCAACGCGTTCTTGTTTATCTACGGCTTGAATATCATCGTCTAGTGTATGAATGTTGTTCTGGCATATGTGATAGTCTGTGAGTAATTCCTCTATGTCTTGGTGCTCATCTAATACGTTAGAGACATCAGTAACTGTTTTATTGACCACTTCATTGGCCTGTTTACATGTTATGGCTTCACTGGACTGTTTCCTCGGCGTGGCTTCAGTGGTCTGTTTACTTACTACAACTTCATTGGACTGTTTACTGGGTATGGCTTCATCAGACTGTTCACTTATATTAACTTCTGCTTTACTAATACTACATTTGTTATCACTTTTAATTTCAGTCGATTCAATTTTTATTTCTGCATCATCATTGCCATTCTTATTCGCTGGTTCTTCATTTTTATCATCATTTATACTTCTATTTTCATTTTTTTCAATTTCATCACAATTTATTGCATTTTTATCACTTAAATCTGTAGCATTTTTCGATTTAATATTATCGTCCTCCTCCCTGAGTTCATCGTCTGTTTTATCACTGCTAATTGCCACATCTTTTTCAAGAGGCGTTTCCTTATCTGTACCTTGTAATGATTTCTCTTGTTCATCTTTTCTATCACTAATGGGTTCATCTATCTCAGAAGATATATCTTTATTATCAGTTTTTTCTGTGTCTGTTGATATTTCTTTTGTACTATCTACTACCTGTTCGTCAGTCGGAATGTTATCTTTAGGTTGGTTTTTGCTAATCTGCGAAAGAAATGTAAAATAATATTTATTCATAAACATTTTAGTTGCATATTTAATACTATTTTTTTCTAATAACACAAGAATTATTTGATCTAGTATCCTTTGGATGAGCGCAATGATCGAGTGGTGGCATTGTATCCGTCGTATGTGACATCTAACGAACGATATAACGTTTTATATACTCGCATCGATAGTTGCCAGTGGCCGATTGACTCGCCGGTTTCGACTCGCGGTCGGGTCAACGTAGAAAATTAACTTTTCTATACTGTCTTAGGTCTCGGTATTGTGGTACCTTCCTTGTTTCAGATTTGTATAATAGATGTGTTAAAAGCTAATTCATTCGATGTAATGTTGTCTAATATAATAAACATATACAATTATACAGGATGGAATTCTGAAATGGGCTAGTGAAATTGAACTATATAACAAATCAGCATACGGGTCAACCGCGTAAAATTTACATGGATCTAATTCTTTAATTCTAATTAAGGCTAAAACAAGACAATGAGAAAATTTCCTGGTACCATCACGCGTTGCATGGCAAACTCAAGACTGTTTTGTCTTCAGCTAAACGACACTTCTCGGGTGCGCCCATACAATAACTCTTCTTCTTCTTCTTTTTTAATTTATGGCCTATTTGCGTTTACACAATTCCGCTAAAATCACGTTTGTGGTCTTTACACGTAAAGAAACAATAAAAAAGATATGACAATTTTGAATTTTGGAGTAATAACTAAAACAATAAAAAAGCTCTGAACGCGTCTAAATGATTAAATTGTTAAAGATAGTATAATATCTCACTATGGACCCAAGAAAAGTGACATTTGGGTGTAGACAAAGCGATTCTAGTTTGTTATACTCTGCGTGCAGAGGTTGAAATTATTAATAATCTCAGATGAAAACCAGTAGTGTCGATCAAAATCCACAAACATCTATAAATACTTATGTCTGTGTACGTTCATCACAGGAGTTAGTGAATCAGGAAATCTCGTGACTAACGAGGTGTTCCTACAAGATATATGCTTCACGATGTACCAACATACCAGTACTAACCTCTACAGCAAACACGCTCGGTACCACGGCGGCCTTCAGCCTAGTCTTGCCTCTTACAAACTGGTAATCGGTTGTGAGAAAATGTCGACTGCAGATCGCGTCTCCTACCGCCTTCTTCCCATTCACCTTAAGAGCGGTCTCCCACTTACGACGGAGTGAGCGACTACCAGGAAACCTGAACAAAATGTAGCGTGTACTTAATGAAAAATGTTAATAAAAAAAGTCCACTATGTACTAGGCATGTGCGCCGATGCCGAAATCTTCGGCGGCGGCGTGGAGCTAAAAATTCAGTGGCGGCGGCGTAAACGGCGTCGTTATGTTAAATGATGGAAAATAAAAAGTCCAACAATTCAGAATGCCTTTATTGACATAACAAATATAAGAGCTAAACATATATTTTAATTATAATTTTTATTATATATAGTTTGTAATCCTACTTCTTTTTGCCTATTGAATAGTGTTTCATCCAGTATTTTATATCTTGTTTGTTTGCTCTCACTCCTAAGACTGCTGATTTAGAGTTTACATCCTTAACAGCAAAAGGTGAAAACCCAGCTGTATAATCTGGGTCCAAAGCGTTTGTTTTATTTCTGGCTAATTTAGTAGCAAATCTTTTGTAAATATGTTGATCTTCGGTAAGGATTGGGTACTGAAAATGTTGTCCTCCTCTGGGTGTGGGTAAACTGAACCTCTTGCCCCTGGCGGTCAGTGGTTTACGACCATTTATATGCTGGTTTCCTTCCTCATCAATGCTCACTGGCACCTTTCGAAGAGTAGCATGACCACATTTAGGACAAAATAATTTTGTCATGACACTCGTAATTTTGAAACAAGTTGTGCATCGGAAAATGAATGTCCTTAGCTGTTTTATTACTCTGCCATCAATTGCTGTTACATTTAATCCAATTTGTCGTAGAACATTCTGCATTGCAAAGTCAGATGTTATACAAGCAACCTCAACTTCTTTTTCTTCAAAGTCTCCTAACTCTGTTTCTTTTTTCTTTTGTACAAGATTTCCAGGTGTAATCCATTCACCTCCATCACTGTCTGATTCTTCACTGGTATATTCCTCATTTTCTTCTAAATCTACTTTTACTATTAAATTGTCTATCTCCTTATCTTTCAATTCCATATTTTCTAATTGAATTGTAATTTCTTCAGCTAATTCGCTGCTACTATTATTTTGTTCCTATTCTTCTGAACCAGTTTTAGGAGACATAAAATGTTGTTGTATTTTTTGACTTGTGTCCTCTTCTGAATTTTCTGATGCCTCAGATTTAAGAGCTGTATCAGAGTCAACTCTATTGTCTATATTTTCTGGGTGAGGATTAAAACCAGCTAATCCAGTAACTTTCAGCGTTCTCTGCATAGTAGGTTCAGTTTTCAAATGGTCTGTACCAATTTTTTCTTTCTCAAGCTGATAAGTCAACGCCATAACCTTAATGTCAGTTGCAGAAAGGCTTGTATAGTCACCTGTCTTCTTTGAGAAATCTGTTACAAATTTAATATGTTCGGAGAAGACTTCTTTGGTTTTTAAATCGTACGGTGACACCACAAGTTTACGTCTTTGCCTATCATTGGTGATTTCATCTATTACCTCCTGTATTGTATACACATTCTCAGCAATATCTTGTAGGTTTGCAACTTTAATAAAAGCAGTTGTATCCACAACTAAGTGCTTAATTTTCTTAGCCATTTTAAATAATATCAGATGTTTTCATTGAGAAACAAAAAGTAAGACTACACACGTGTTCCATACGCAAAACTCCAAGCAAAGAGCTACAAAAAGCTACTAAAACTAATAACACCCTTTAAGTAACAATCAAATATGGCACAACTATACTCTTCTAAATTATGTAACGTAGTCATAATGATATTAAAAAATAATTTGTAGCAATCCATGGGTCCAAGTTCACAGGTTTAAGTCCCATCTGACAATGCCGGGGACAAAGTAGATTTCATTGCTATAGAAATGTTGGGGCTTCTAATCAAGAACCGCGACAAGTTGTTTTGACAATCCTTGCGTGATGTTAACCTGGCAATGCCTAAACAATTCTGAAGAGACCTAAACAGGTGGAAATCTGAAGATGCAAGGTCAGGACTATACGGCGGATGCATTAACACCTCCGAGCCAAACTCTCTTAATTTAATGAAAAACCTCCCTTCTATTGATTAATTCTGTCCGCTTTCTCTCACCTTCTTGCTTTAATCTCATCAGTTGTTCACAGTAGAGTTCAGAATCGATGGTCTTCCCTGGCGGTACCAGCTCGTAATGTATAAAATGCCCTTCCAATCCCACCATACAAACAGCATCACCTTTTTGCCAGTTAACCCGGGTTTCACCACACTCTGTAAAGTCTGCCCGACCTTTGACTACGATTTTTTTCGTATGTTCTTGTCTTACGTGATCCAGTTTTCATCACCAGTTATCAGCTTCTTCAAAAATTATTCGGCTTCATTACGCCGCAACAAAGAATCACAAGAGTACATGGTTCAATAGGTTTCTTGCAGTGAGCTTCGTCGTAACTACTGATATGCCGATCTTGCTTCACTTTCTTAAAAATGAAATCCATCTATTCGTAACAGAGCGACCGGAGCAAAGTACATCATTAACATCAAAATTTCCGGGCTGAAAACGCTTAAACCAAATTTGTGCTACTCTCACAGAAACTGCACTAGGTTCATAAACGTCATATTTGTTTCTCGCGGCTTACGTTGCATTTTTACCTTTTTATAATAAAATTTTAAAACAATTTCACAGTAAGAAAAACAAATAAAAAACACACATTTTCCTAATTTGAATATGAAATCTTCTTTAAAATTTAAACTTTTTATTTATACCGAAACCAGCCACATAGAAATGGTATAGCGGACCGACCCCTACGAAAGTTTACCAACTTCTACATCGCATACCACTGCGCCGTTAATTTTCTCGCTTCTTGAATAATAATGCTTGGTTTCATACAAATACCTATCATATAACAAAAATATTTGATGAGATAACTCAAAGTACCAAGCACATTTTTATTATTATTAAAATAGTTTAAAAGTAATGTATCTACTAACAATCTATGGACTATGAAATGTCAGAAAATGAAGACATTTTATTATATTTATTTTCATGAGGTTTCACCATGAATGAGAAAAAAGAGAAGGAAAAACTGACCAATGCAAACAGACTCGCATATGAAGGGTTCGATACCATATTTGTGGTATAGGAGCCCAACTTATTAATATTTGTTTTGTTTTAATTTAATTATTTATTTTTAAAGTTACTATATAAATATAGCTGTTGTTATCAATATTGAACAAAAACGATAAAAAAATATATGCATTTTGGTTTGGTATTATTCTGGTTTGTTGTAACAGAAGTACATTATCTGTAGGAATTGCAACTGCCTAACTTTAACGGTTCATGAAATACAGATTGGTGACAGACAGACAAGACAGCAAAATCTTAGTACCCATTACCCAGTACCCATCTTACCCTTTGGGTACGGAACCCTTAAGAAGTTAACTGGGCACTTACTATATATATATTAGTATATATTGCAATCGCACCAAGCCAGGAAGTTCACTAGTTCGTGTATCTTCCAAGAAAAATACATAATAAATTCACCCATCTTAAAAGTGCATTCAAATTTAAGATAAATATCAACATAACAACATAACACAAATAATATTATATTTATGAACTTTCTGTCCACAATGCTATATTGAGGACACAAAGTTCATAATAGTTATTTAAGACACGAGTGCGGAAAGTAAGGTTTTACGAATAAGGGCCAAATTGAAAACACGAGCGTAGCGAGGGTTTTCATTGGCACGAATTCGAAATACCTTTTACGCTCAAGTTTCTTACAACATTTTTCAATGCTTTTTGCGAGGAAATAAAACAAATATATAGGTTAATAAAACTAAGTATGTATTAAAGGTAAAAATTATTTGTTAAAATTATACATTTGCAGTCGTTAATACCCTCCAATCCGCATTGGGCCAGCGTGGAGGGTCATGGCCCATCCTCCTTAACCATATCCATAAGGAAGGCCTGAGCACCTGCAGTGGGGACGTAAAAGGGCTGATGATGATGATTTGAACATGTTTTCGTCTCATACATTTTTATTTGAAAATATTTGTTCTAGGCTCCATGAAATACTTTTGCCTCTAAAGTTTGACATATTTTCATCTTTTTCTTTTAATTTTCTTTGGTGCTCGGCCAAAAAATATTAAAAAAAATACTTTTAAGCACGTGTGCAGTAAAGGATTTCAGTACATTTTTATTTAACATGTGTTTAAAGACTCACTTTCGGTGTTTACAATGGATTAAAAAAATAGCGCTTTATGAACAACTGCATTGAAAATATAATAATGATATATTTCAAATACTTACTTGAAAAAAGTAACTCCTTTACTAGATGTAATCTTGCATCCAATAACACAACACGACTTCACCATGCTGTTAATTTATCTGAAATATATTTTTAATTATAGAGTAAACACAGCTTCTTTCATTATCATTTTCATTTACTGTAACTATGAGCAGATCATAAGACATATATTTATGTCCCATCTATCTGGATACTGTGGCATTGGTAACATGATTTTGTCCAATAGTGGTAAATTAGTCAGGGCAACTCGGTTCTGTCTCTTCAGTTATGGGATGCAGATGCGCATATGTTTTGCCCCCTATTTTACTTATTGTTTCTAATATGAGTGAAGATTCCCCAATATTGTTGTTTGAATTGTTTTTGAGAGTAACACGGATAAAGTCTGAAATCTTTCTAAATAAAAGAAAGATTTCAGACTTTATCAAAATTAGTACTCTGTTCTGTTTCTATTTATACTTAATATGCACCATCTATGTTTCCGCCATAGTTTCTTTTAATATTTACATCAGTTATACACTTGTAAAACATAATTATATTCATTCATAAAGAGTACCACTGAACAGTTATCACTTCATGATTCTCCATAATTATTAAGGTTGACGGTGGCCTGTCAATGTGTGTAGATTATGTTTTGATCCAACATGAGTTTGGACATGATTGAGGGTATACTGGAGAGTCGGACAAATGTTTATTATTACATTTTTAAATCCAGAAATAGTTTGTGTTGCTGTTATTTTATTGAAAATTCCAACCCACTTTTATTTTTTATTATTGCTATACATATAAATAACTTGCAGATAAATTTATATTTCCTTTTTAATTTCTTCGGTCTAAGGAATTTTTCATTATTTTTAGATGCATCTGTTCGTCTAATTCAAATAATCAAAATTTTAAGCTGGTTTCGACTATATTTTAAATAATGAACACAGGTAATAATAATTTATTAGAAGCAGAACATAATTTTATCTAAGTAACTATGTATATCAAAACTTCAAATTAATCTTAATCACTACAAGATACTTTTAAAACAACAAGTCAAAATGAAATTTCACATCATAATAAAACATACTTGATGTTTATTTACGGTAAATTTATTATTCGTTTAATATAAAACAAGTCTCAAAATTCGAACTACCAATCATGTCCCTAATTTGTCATACGTCCCTATTCTGATTTTAGTGCCGGCACAATCACCTTTGATACACTTTCAACCTAATCGCATAGGAAATAAAGTTAAATTTACTAAAACATAGCGATATAAAAGCGATATCGTTTCCTAACGCAATTGCAAAATAAGCCACCGTCATAATGAATTCAATATCGATTTTCAGTGCTTCATTGTGAGGAAAATATATTTAAAAAGTAAATACACTGTTTACAAACACTTCATAACAATTCTAGCGCGCGAAATCTCAATGAAAAGGTTAGAAATTGAAAAGAAACAATAACTTAATAAATCACTTACGTGCAATATTTTATAACACTAAGGTACAATGATGTATTTTAATCTAACCATGGCATTAAATAACACTGTTATTAATCTCTTTATCTAGGAAATCTAATATATTTATAAACTTTTCAAATAGAAAGGGCTACGAAAAACACGAAAGCTCAAATATTATTAGATTTGATTTTTTTTATTTAACATAAAAGGATCGAGCCCATTCTGCCTATCTTGGTAATTTTTCTCTATCTCACTAACTTGTTGAAGCTTCTATTATATATATTGACTAAATTTACTTTTTAATAAATTTTATTTACATATTTTGTTTATCTTTAGTGATTCTCATTTTAACTATATACGTAGCGTAGGGATAAAAATACTGTATTAAAGATTGTTTTAATTAATATGTATAAGTAAGTTAATTTTCACATTCAATTTTCGCCTTTTCAACAATACAACTAGATAACGCCACTCATACTAAAACAATACTCAAATACAGAACCATACAATGCGATAACTTTCCAGTATAATATTGTAATCTTTGGCGATAACCAAGGAACGTAATAACACAGAGTATATTCTGTGATAATACTCTACGCGACAACTGAGCTTCGGCAATGGGTATTTCCGTGTATAACGGAACAAGTCCATATTAAAAAACAAAAGTATGGACTTGCATTGTCAATTTTATTTTTCTTTGTAAAATACACATGTAATTATTTACATTGATAATTTACGGAGGATTTTAATTTAAATAACAGTACAATTATAAAATCTATTATCCTTGCACACATACTTAATCTCTCTTAAGTCTTACTTTTTTTATTTTAAAACTACATCTGAATAAAATAAAAATACTGATATTAATATACGTGATTTTTTTTTTGCTTTTGTTATGCAATTTTACGTCAATAAAACATTCAATCACTAAATTCAAAAATTCTGTTTTATGGTTTAATTCGTCATTGTCAGGGAACGTATCTTTTGCTTTAAAAGGTTTTATTATAATAAGATACTCAAAATACATATAAAACACCCCGACACCGCTTTGTAGTCGACAACATGAACCACTATTTTCAATACGTGTTTAAATTGTTGGTAAAAAAAATGTAATAGTAGGTACACTACTCTATGTATATGCTGTCATCGAACATCGAATATTTTGCGTTGGCGCGTGGGTTGGCTTAGAAACAAAACAATAATTTTATTATATTTGATCAATGTCGCATTAAAGTCAAAGTCAGTCGAAATAATCTTTATTCAAATAGACTTCTTAAAAGTACTTTGGAAAGTCCCCACAATGCTATACTGAAAAATATTCTTAATAAAAAATGCTTAAATATATATATTGATTATTAATTATAGACATCGTAAAATCACATTTACAACTCGAAAATATAATATTCCAACAGATTCATTTTCATTCCGATAGTTGTATAATTATGCAGTTTTAATACGCACTGTGGCATCTTAACACGTCTGAACGTTGGCGCCGTCGCAAACAAACAAAAACAAAATAAGAACGCACTTTGAAGTAAGGCGTTATGTCTTCAGCCATTTTTGAGACTGATCGGGCATCTAGTTGTTCTTCTATTTTAATGGCTATTTTGTGTTAACCACAATCCTGCCAATTTCACGTAGGAGACCACTACACGGTATAATAGATTACTATAATCAATTTGGTTGTATTGTTGATCGAATCCTGTCACGCCCCCTTTTTGACATGACATTCAAAGTAGTGACATCTAGTTTGATTACAAGAACACTTTTTTAATACTTTTTTTAAACTAAAAGAAAGACGTGTAGGACGCAGGGTATCAGAGTGTTACCAAAGAGATGTCAAAGTAGTAAAATGAACCAAAATATCACCATAAATATTCGCTATGGCGCCTGATTTTATAGCCAGAGAGTTAGAGCTATTAATTGGAATGCCATATTACGTTAATATTAGCAAAATCGAGGCAAACTTTGATATCGCAAATTATAGATTTAGAAATTAATTACCGTAAAAATATGAATTAATTCTGGTGTGTTATTTTGAAATAACTAAACACATAATCTCCAGCGATAGGCGTTAACGAATTATCAGCTATAAATCGAACAAAATAGTAATGATAAACATACAACTGTATATATGTTACTAAGGATTATTTTCATAGTATGGATATGATCTTATAAAGTTGTAGATACGCAGCCATATTATTAGCATATACTTCTTAATGAAAAATGCTTAAAAAATCCACTCAGTGTGCCAGGGACGAAGCGGATTTATTAAGCGTTTTTTTTTTCATTAAAAATATATTTCAGTATAGAATTGTGAATGCGAAATTGATCAAATATAATATACTTTTGAGATTGCCCAAATGAATGCAGTTATTTTTTTAACAGTTATTTTTTACATCAATGTATTTATTATCAACAAAATTTAATGAAGATATCTGAAGTTTGATGTTATTCCAAAACTACACCCGCTGCCTGTCTTGTCCTCTGTGCGCCATACTCGGCTCTTCTATGAGCCTTAGACTCGTTATGTCTGTTTATATCTCGAGGAGTTTTAAACGAAACATTACATAATTCGCATTTGAATGTTCTCTTTGTTGTATGCACATACTGCATGTGAACTCTTAGACACTGTTTATTCTGACACGCCTTGTCGCACACAGGACAGTAGTAGAGGTCCGTCTGACTGTGCACCCTCATGTGTATCTTGAGGGATTGTTCATGTTTATATTTCTTGTCGCACACTTTACACTGGATCTCTTTCCCGCCGCCATGACTTAACTTGTGACGTTTCATATCTGTATATTGTTTGAAAGTGCGATCGCACTGGTCGCACTGGAAGGGGCGTTCATCGGTGTGTGTTCTAGTATGTACCGTCCTGGACAGCGGTCGTGTGAAACCTTTCCCGCAGTACAGGCACTGGTATTTTTTAATACCGGTATGGTTCGCCATGTGCCGGTCGTATTCCTTCTTATTCTTCAGCATCTTGCCGCACTCGACGCATTCTATAAGTTTCCCTTCTTTCTTGTGTTCATATAAAACATGTTGCTTCAAACCCATCGGCGTTTGGAACGTCTTGTCGCACTGGTCGCACCGCACTCGACAGTCGAAATGAGTTGCTATGTGCCGTTTAATGTACGCGGGGCTCTGGTAACTGCCGCACTCGAAACATTTGTACATTGAACGTTTCTTATGTGTCGTTTCGTGTACTAAGAAATCGCAGTGGTCGGTGAACGCCATGTTGCATAATTTACAGAGGAATAAGTTTTCTTCGTCTTTGTGGACGATTTTGTGCTCTATGAGTTCGGCGTTAGTGGGGAATGTCATATGGCAGAGCGAGCATGTATATTGTTTAACTGTTTGATGCATTCGCGTGTGGTTCAGGAGGCCAGTTTTGGAATCGAAATGTTTCCTACACTGCATGCAACGATAAGACCGTTCGTTGATTTCATCTTTAACTTGGACTGTAATATTCTCTTCTTTTAACCTACAAGAAAAATGTATATATATTAAAAAAAGTATTATAGGTAAACACATGGAGAAACAATGTCTGACAGCGAAGTACTTTCGTCAATATCGATCAGACAGCGACAGCCACACTCGTAACGTAACAAAATGTCTGCGATTCCAAGTCTATACACACGTGGCTCATCCTAGTGTACAGTAGACAAGCTTTCATGTCTATCTTCCAGGCAAAATATGTGTCACATGGCAGGCAGTTGAAACACTTGATTAATCAAAAAAACAACATAGGGTTGCCATGACATTAAGGGAGGATTATCGTTACAAAATGCTAGATAATTTAAAAATAATTTCGTTTCCAGCTGTGTAATTGTAGACTTGAATAGATCAATTCAACTCACTCTGACTTTGGTTTCCTTAACTGATATGTCCTGTGTATATTTATACCATCAGTATATGAATCATACCTGGTTTCTTCTGATTTAATGGAATTATCATGTTTTATCTCTGAAAATATTATATTATAGTTACTCTCCAATCTATTTCTTTGAGCTTACCCAGTACAATTTTTTAATACCTTCAAGTATTTACTCCCCAGTTCAATTGCAACTTTCTGTTTTTATTATTTCCATAAAAAATATTAATTTCATGTTTATTTATATAAAACAGTATTTTTTCCCACATTATATACTTACCCAAAACTATATTTAAAATTTAACTGTTTAAAAAACCGCATAAACGGAAACTCAGTGGACGTGACATCATTTACGGGGTAACACAAGAGATTTGCAGTAAAAAAAAATATTTATCGCCAGCAGTATTCATATTTAAACTCACAAATATCTCTAATCTGTTAAGTCTAGTAAATCAATAAGATGAATTTACCGTCAACAAATGACATCACATGCTCTGATTACAACAAATATTGGAAAAAATTTGTTTATTGATTTAAAATTATAATCAATTGTAATTTAGCAAAAATATTCAATATAACAATGTACAATACAATATTAAAAATTGTGATCATCAGATAAAATTAGCATGCCTGAGATAAAATTTACAAAAATGTAAATTATTACAACTAGGGTGACATCACATGCTAGTAAATATAACTTTCTCTTTATAGTTGATGAGAGTTGTTTATTTACTTACATATGCCGTCATACAAGGCGTAATGGTGGCATTTGACAGAAACAGTGTTTTTTCACACAGTTTGGAAATTTAAACTTTAACTTTTATTGATAAATACAGTAAATTTCCTCAAAATATTAATGTAACGTTCTTATTGTGCAGTGAAAAATAATTTGAAAAGATTTTTTAAAACTACTCAAATATCCTATAAATTTTTTTTATCTAATTGCTGTCCAATCCCCTGTTATTTTTAAGTTAAATAGGAATCAGGTAAACATTAATAAAAATAACAGCCTTTCTATTTGGAATTCAGATTTGCATGCCTTTTCTAAAAATAAGACATGGTCATTTTGCAGCCCCTAAATCAAACATAATAAATTGATGTCTACGATGTGGTCCCAAATAAGTAAGTAATTTTACAAAGAAATCACTGTATAGTTATGAAAAGTAAAGTATTAGCAATACACTTAACTCTGTTCTAGATTATGTCAGTAAGTCCATATAAAAAAAAAAAAATCCTAAAGAGGGTTTTATTAAAGCAAGCCCTTGGTGGTCTATTGAAAAGTCATTAGTGGTCAGCAAAATAATACACAGAACTCATAAAGATTTTTGTTTGTTCTGTGGGTATACCATAACACATCATATTTTAAAAGATTAGGAACCCCTATGGAACTAGGAAACAACGAAGATGCCATAATTCTCAAACTGATTTACAATATTAAGCTTATCTCACCTTCAGGCAAATCCTCAAAGTCGATTCCAATGTCTAGTAATTCTTTCTTATTTATTACTTTTTCACTTAAATCTGAAAATATCATTTTAAAAAATATTTTGTACTTATTATTCTTCTTCTTTTTTAATTAATGGCTTATGTGCGCATTTCGCACAATTCTGCCAATGTCAAGTAAATAAATTATTTTTTACGTGTAAAATGAAAATGAAATACAATGGATGCATAAAATATTTATTAAATTTACCTTTTAAATTATTCACGTCCATATTCTCTTCATTGTTTTCACTAGACATTTTAATTGATTTCGATTGATATTCAATTTCTGGGGTGTAATGTAAATAAGTACTAAAATTAGGTTATGTTATAGTTATACCTACAAATAACACGAGTAAAAAGTTTATGATGAAAACAATAAAATAACATTTACTATAGATAAAAATTATTCGTTATCACACTGAAAAGAAGGTGATTTAAAAAAATCATAAATAAAAAAAAAAAAACTTTGTTTACAAACTGCTGTGACAGCGGCTTTTTGATATTTTATTTTAAAAGCAAAGGGATCTAGCTCACGCTACCATGCCTGAATGAAAACCAAATGAAAACGTTCTTTCAACATAAAGCACAATACAATATTTTTTGAAGTTTTCAAATCTATTTTTTTATTGTTTTATTGTACGTTTGGTTGAACGCGCTAATCTCAGGAAATACTGAAATAGTTTTAATGGAAAAATAAAAAACTCACGGGTGAACCGCTGGCGGAAAGCCAGCATGACAAAAATGTGGTTTATTTTATATACTAGGTACACATGGCTGTACGTCAGTGTACTGTAATATGTCAAAAGAGAACTTTTTTGTATGAAGGCTGATACTTCGGAATTGTGTAAATACAAATAGGCCATGAATTAAAAAAGAAGAAGAAGAAGAAGGTTGATACTACATCATTTAGTGGATATTTTATAATTTATATAGCAACACATACGGAACGTTACGTTCCAATTCATGCTGTGAATTAATCTATTTGTCTATTAATCTATTATTGGACAATGTGGAATGATTATTTTTATTTGCTATTAATAATTGATTTTTCAGACCCATAAATATCAAATACGGAGATATTTTAAAAGAATTGAAGCTCGTTGACGCAGATTAGGCCCGTTTTGAGTCTATTTGGTGCGTGACTTATTATAATAAATACATAGTTAACACATTATTAATTCGATTTTCACAATATTGATATATGATTCATCCACTAGGGACACTAAGTTATAATAAGGTGCTTTGGGGTAATAGCCAAAACAGGCAAATCCTAAAAGCGACGAATTAACAACAAATGAGGCATTTCTTGTCGGAAAAGTTGACAGTATACAGGCGTTTACTAGATGAAAAATCTATTAATGAGGAAGTCAAGTCTTTAAAAAAAACATTAGTTCCCGAAATCAAACTAGATGTCGCTACGGTACGTTCTTGATTTCTCCATGACAACCATTCCGGTTTTCTTTCAAGTTTAAAAGTAAATAAGTTTTCAAAACTCAATTAAACAACTCATATTCTTTTTGTAGTATTTCGTATTTGTATTGATATCTAAGTTTCGAACTTTCAAATTTCAGTTTTTTAATTTGTTAATTGGCTCTCTTTGGTCTATTCGTTTCCTGCAAAAATCAACTTTTGCTAGAGTAACCATCGAGTGGAGATACTTTTTTAGAGCTTTCGTTTTTTTTTACATACTTCCTCATTATAAACATATTGCTTTTTATTTAATTTCATTATCGGAATTTCCGCGCTTTCGTAATGACCCCAAAAGTATCCTACCAAAGATCCCTTTGCCTTTGTTTTAATTTATTTTTTAACTATGCGTTTTAGTTTTCTGGGCCATACCAATTTTTTCAAATTAATTCTCTGAAACGGGGAACTTTTAGGCCTGATCTTTGATGAAAGATAGAGGATTGGTTCTAGGTGCTATGATAATTTCCTACATGGTAGTTAGATTTTTTCGGAATAAAGTACCAAAAAACATTCCTTTTCTGTTGATTTCTAAGTTCCTTTTCATAATATTCTAATTATTTTCATTCACTCATTCGCCGCTTTCAAGACGTCGCCATCTCTAAGGTCCCGGGTTCGATTCCCATCTAGAAAATGAATTTTTGCTATGTTGTCTTTGGTCTGGATGTTCTATTTTCATAATACGAGTGCTTTAAAAATAGCAACTGAAGTGATTGTCGACTGTTTTTTTTTTCTTCGTTTTATATAATTGTCTATTCGAGCCGTTATACCGTGGCTTCAGCCGAAAAAAAAAATATTAAGAGCGTGGAAGCGTTGGCCTCAGAGTTTATAGTTGCAATATTTGAGTCGTCTTTATAAATAAATATTTTAAAAACAACTTTTCGTAAATTATTTAATTTTATTTACATTACAACATAATACTTACAAGATTATTCAGTACTTGTGTAAGTAGTCTTATGTCTAACAAAATTCAGTTAAGGCATTTATTTATAAATGTTACTTGCGTTGCAGTTCACAAAACCAAATTGCCAATCATAGAAGTATTTTAAATAGATCAGGGAAGTTAGACCTCCTGTTGCTTCTCTTTTTGCCTTTTGGTTAGAAAGAGAGAGAAGATCGCGGTACACCTTTTCTTTCTACTCGTAAACGCGTAGGTAATTAACTGAGAAACGGTACATAGAAATGCTATCATTTAATGTGTATGCTTCAGTAGAGAACGACACATAGGGTACATAGATCTTCTCTTTCTTAACGAAGCACATTTCTGCTAACAGGCAGTCATAATATATTTTACTTTCGCTACACATAAAATTACAAATATAAGTATCACAATAAATAATAATAGGGATAACGACTAATTTTTTGTTTGTTTGTCCGTCTGGTAGATTATTGAAAAATATTATGTAGATACTCGTACCTTTTTAATTTTTTCGTAATCGTTCAATTACGCCGATACATTGGGTTAAAATACCGCGTGACGTCACGGTTAGGTACATTTTTTACAAAACAGTGACGCAGCGAGTTCCCACTTCTTAACTTTAATGTCTGTTATCTAAGATATTTCTTATTAAATTAAAGTTAAAAAAAAATACGTATCTAATATTTTTTCCATTGTCTAACTGACGGACTTAATATAATTTTTTATTTTTCTACCCGGTCGTCATCCTATTGTTATATTCAATATATTTTTGAGCATTATTTTATTAATAACAAAATACTTTTTAAACGACACAGCATTTTTTCATTAATAAAAAAATAAAATTATTGTTTCAATTAGGAAGTATTTAAAAATATACTAGTTCCCAAAATCAAACTAGATGTCGCTACTGTACGTTACCGATTTCTCCGTGACAACCCTTCCCGTTTTCTTTCGTGTATATAAGTAACTTAATTTTCAAAACTCAATAAACAACTCATATTCTGTTTGTATTGATATCTTAGTTTCGAACTTTGCAAATTTCCGTTATTTAATATGTTAGTTAAAAGGAACGGAAATGACTATCTTTGGTCCATTAATGCAAAAATCAGCTTTTGCTAGAGTCGCCATCTAGTGAGATGCTTTTTTAGTGCTTTCATTTTTTTAAATACTTCCTCATTAGCTAGTTGCACAATTGGAAATAAATTAACGTATTTATATTGAATGTTCAATATAAATATGCACTAATTTTTGTTTGCAGCTAGAACATTATCCTCCGATCGGTGGTCGGTGGAGTGGAGCTAGAACACGCGGTCCTGGTACGTGGAGTCCTGCGGCACTGGCTTGGGCTGCGCGCCGGCCACGTGGTGGTGGTGGCGCAGGTGGCCGGGGCGGCGCGGCGGCGCCAGGTACTCGAACATGCTCTGCGTGTGCTGCGCGAGCATGCTCGCCAGGTCGCACGGCATCGGGTCCGTCCAGAAGAAGTCGTGGTTCAGCGCCGTGTCCGCGTCGTACCTGCGGACCGCCCACATATATATGTCGTCAACGAGTAGATTTTTAAATCGGAGTGCCAACGCCATCTATCGGCGTTCGACAGAATCTACGCTTCACAGTGCTGGTAATAAAGCTTTGCGCCAAAATGATGGACGCGGGCTGTCTGTGTTATTGAAGAACGGTAAAAGAAAATAATAAGAATTTGGCGGGCTGTGAGTGCGTTGAGACTGTCTCGCGTTCCGTTGTGTATATTAAAACTAATTTAAGTAATTCTAATTATAGTGAAAGAAGTTGTTATAATTGTTTTGGATTGTAATTAGAAGATTTGTGAAAGCATTATCCTAGTGTTATTATTTGATCCGACACATCCCCACATACGCTCACGATAGTTACTAATAGCTAATTATGGAAGATCAATCCGAACCCCGTCCTCCGTTATATATATATAATACTATTTGTTGTGCACAGGGCTGCTCAACTCTAGAGCGGGTGGGGCCGCTGGGTGAGTTAGGAAGTGAAACAAAACAAAAAAAAAACCCGCCTACGTGAAAAACAACCGACGGAAAAAGCTGGTACAAGATAAAAAAAATTACGCAACATCATACACAATATGCAAACGGGTTTTTTGTTTTATTTTAAATTAATATTCAGATTATATGTATTAAAAAACAAAAGATTGCGTATTCTCAATTCATTCAAAATCCGAAAGGTGAATTATATGTTCAAGGAGAAAAATGTGAACCAATTTCTTTCAAACTAGCTGTTTCCCCGCGACTTCGCTTGCGTAAATTATAGCCTATGTCCAACGCGTATTGTGTAGCTTCCCGTAGATGAAATACTTTCATAAATCGGTCCAACAGTTTTGACCCTATCCAATGCAAACAAACAAAATCTTGTTTTCGAAGAGTTTCACTATGTTGAATATTTTATTTAGATATATCTATATCTAGTAGCTCAGTGGCGTATCGGATAAGCGCCGCGGCCCGCGATCTTTGTCGTTAAGCAACTTTCGCAAAGGTCGGTCACAGGATGGGTGCCAAAAAATTATTATCTCGAGCTACTCCGTGCTTCGGAAGGCACGTTAAGCCGTTGGTCCCGGCTGCATTTGCAGTCGTTAATACCCTCCAATCCGCATTGGGTCAGCGTGGAGGGTCATGGCCGATCCTCCTCAACCATCCATAAGGAAGGCCTGAGCCCCTGCAGTGGGGACGTAAACGGGCTGGTGATGATGATGAGATCTATATCTATACTAATATCATAAAGAGGAAAGATCTGATTGTTTGTTTGTTTGAAACGAATAGGCACCGAAACAACAGGACGGATTTTAATAATTCATATTTAAAAGTGAACATAGGCTATTGTTCAATTAATAAACCTACAGAGAAGCCCCGTCTCACTTCTATAGCATTTTCTTGAATAAGTCTCTTTTGAGATAAGTATTATTTATATTTTAATCTTAAAACTACGCAACGGATTTTGATGCGATTTTTTTTTTCATAGATAGGGTGATTCAAAAGGATGGTTTTTATGTATAATACAAGACCTCGTGGGCGAAGCCGCTGGCGGAAAGTCAGCAAGTAATAAAGAATACTACATACAAGATACGCGCGAAAATCATACAACCCTTCCTTTGCTTGTTCGGCAAATTTGCTTTTTTATTTTCGAACAGGTGACATCTGCATCGGCTTTATTTGAAATCTAATGTACTATTATGGTCATTATACCATTATACTATTATGCTATTAATGTACTATTATACTATTATGGTGACAGTGCTGTCCAATCTTAATATTGATTTCATATTTTAGTTTTTCATGTATGTGTACATAAACAAATCAATGATATTCACCTCTTTGCCGGATCCAACTGTAGTAACTTATCCAACAGGTCACAACCGTAAGGATCCTTTACATAATGCTTTAGTCTTTCCTGTGGGCAAAAACAAATAAATAAAAATATAACAAACAATTGATGAACAGTTCATTAATAAAAAATCAATGAGGAAGTATTTTATGAAAAAAAAAAGAAAGCACTAAAAAGCGCCTGCACTATGGCGACTCTAGCAAAAGTTGATTTTTGCAGGAAACTAATGGACCAAAGACAGTCATTTCCGTTCCTTTTAACTAACATATAAAAAAAATGAAATTTGCAAAATTCCAAACTTAGTTATCAATACAAATAGAATATGAGTTGTTTAGGGGGCGTCCATAAATTACGTGAGATGTTTTAGGGGGGGAGGGGGTCGAGGCAAATCTCATCTAATCTTACGTTGGAGAGAGGGGGGGTCTCGGCAAATATCACGCAATTTTTTTTTCTCATTGAAACAAAAACAAAAAAAATACTATTTTGGTCCATTTAATCCAGATTGTACATGCTTAAGATTTAATCTTAAGCGTAATCGTATACGATTAAGATCATTCACTAATTCGTTCAAAAGAAAATAATTTCATTCATACTTCGACGCTATACATCTACTGAATGTCAAACCACCATATTTGTAGGGTTCTAACGATATTTTCGATATCGAGTAGGTATCGATACTTTCAAAAGCTATACTCGATACTGAGTATTCGATACTACAACAAGGCAAATACTCGCAAGTACTCATCAAATTGCATTTTGAAAAATCTCACGTGAGATTGGGGAATGGGGGAGGCGGTTGAATAAAATCTCACGACATCTCACCAGGGGGGGAGGGAGGGTCAGAAAATTAAAAAAAACACCTCACGTAATTTATGGACGCCCCCTTATTGAGTTTTAAAAATTAATTTACTTTTATACATGGAAGTAAACCGGAAGGGTTGTCATGGAGAATTCAAGAAAGTAACGAAGCTACATCTAGTTTGATTTAAGGAACTTATTATTTTTTTTAAATACTTCACCATTTCAATTATTTATCATCATGGTGCATTCTAAAATAAAAAGTAAAGTCTATGGTGTCATATACAAAAACATAGAGTATAGAGAAACATACCTTGACTTTCCTCTTCTGTCCTTTCGGTAGTTCCATTTTGTTGTACAGGTCCAGATTCTCGACGCCGGGCCACACGTCGGGCGTGCAGGAGCCGCACAACTGCGAGATGAGGATCAACTGCTGCTGTTCAGTAGGACCCTGCAGATATAATCAATCACACTGAAAAAGATCGGAAAATAAATCATACTTCATTCTATGTCATTCCATGGTGACAATACACAACACAATAGATATTAAGAGTAATATAAAATTTAATTTTGCTCTAATTTATCAGAAATTCACATGTTTTTTAATGAAAAAAAAATGTTATAAATTGTGACGGTCGGGACTCACACTTTTAATGAACTACAAATTTACCACTACTTATAAAGAGTTTGTAAGAAACTATCAATATTATTAATGCAAATAATTGTGTGTGTATACTGAAAGTTTCAACTTTCGACACGTTAATATCTGGTTTGAATTTAAATCATAATTTTCAACAAATTCAGATTAGAAGAATGTGACGGTGGGGACAAGTAACAAATGAAAAAAAAACGCATGTATTTTATACACCCCCATTAACGGTTTTTTATGCAAAATGTACGTAATTTGTTATAATGAAGTAGTTTAAATATTATCCTGCCTCAAAAACATCAAAGTTTCCGCCAAATTCATAATAAACTAGCGGACCCGACAGACTTCGTCCTGTCAAAAAGATTTGTAATGTGGCAGTTATTTGTTCCTACTTATTTTATAGTCGGGGCAAAAAATAGGAGGCATATCAAATATAAATTATTGTGTCACATGCAATATTATTATTATAATAAATAGTGATCATAGGTAACTAAACACTCTGCACAAAACACGATATACGAATTTGTTTCGTGTATTAGACAGTATCAGTTGACAAAAGCAAACTCAGTAGAATAAGTAACAGAAAATCCAAGAAAATAATACTTCCACACCGGCAAATTGACATCGACAGTTTATTTTTCTTAGTTTTTTTTTAAACTAACTAAACATCGACAGTTTGTTGTTGTTTCAATTTTCAACTTTTTTTAAATTTGATATGACTTGGAATCAAATCCTTCAGGCCGTACCAATTTTTTATGTGTGTAAAATAATAAATAATAAAACACTTTTGGTAACGCGGTTTGTGTTTGACTGATGTCATGACGTGAAAACTGATGCATTTTATGTCGCGTGCTGAAAGTAAAACAAAAGAAATAATATCGCAAAGCCGACCAAATTGAAAATCAGTACTAATGATTTACTTTAATTGAGTTTCGGAACGCGGCATTAAATCCTCCAACGATGTATTCTGTGCTCCAACGCACACACGCACACTGTATTGATATGATTGAATTTCAACTTTGTATAGCGGTAATAAAGTGCAAATTGACTCTTTGACGTTAGGAACACACCTACATTGCTTAGATAACAGTGAGTGCTTGTAATTTAATATGAACTTTATACAATAGTAAAAGAGCTCAAATTGACTCAACGTTTTAGTTAGAAAACGTTTGTATGAGAAAAAGAAAATGGCTGTTTTTACGGTTTTTTCGGCATATATTCAAATTTTTCTCGCCGTAAAAACCATCCTTGAACTTCAACGAACATTTAAAAAAAAGAATTGGCCAAATTGGTCCAGGCGTTGTTGAGTTATGCGCTTACCAACACATTTTGCGATTCATTTTTATATTATAAAAGATTCGGTTTACCATTGATATAGATATTTAGGTCTGGTAGCACCTTAATTAATTCTGACAACATTATGCATCACATCTACTACCTAAAGCAATATTTGCAAAAAAACAAATATTTTGCTATTTAGGATCATGACGATATAGTACTGTTTCCTTATTTGTTTGTTTGTTGATCTATTACTGACCTGCATGATGGGTGACCTGGTCCACATCTCAGCCATGATGCATCCTGCACCCCACATGTCAACAGGCGGGCCATAGTTTCGGTCACCTGGTGTTCACAAAGCAGAAAGAAACGTACTTTAAAAACTGTGTTTTTATACCGAGCGTGCATATACATAATTATATATAGATAAATAATATTATTTAAATAATAGTAATATTTTGAGCAGATTGGGTTGGCTGAAATAAAAGAGTAAATATTTATTTTTGAGATGCGTAAAAAAGTTTACGCATCTCAAATGGATAATTTTTGAAAGGGATAATTTTATAAAATATGCCAGTAAAATAAAAGAAAAAGTAACTAAAACGAATAAATAAATTTTAGAATTACAAGTATTCAAACCTGTGTTAGAAAATAAATAAACATAAGTTAATAAATAAAATATGTACACTAAATATAATATGACAACAAAATGTAAAATAGATATAAGACACTAATGTAAAATAATATAAGATAAGAAAACGATGTGATTGAAATAAGAACTAGAAAAATAAAAAGAGGGAATACAAATATCCCCATAACACAGGTAAAACATACCTGTATAAAGAAAAAAGAAATAAGCACAAAAACATAAAATACAAAGTAAAAAAGATAGCCAGCTGAACAGTGGGGAAACCAGATTATAAATAGAAAGATATATAGCATAATTGCAAAATGCAAATAATTAAGATTCTATTGAGATGCAATTATAACACCTACGGCTTCCGATGTCATAAAAATAAAAAAAAAATTGTAACACTCTGCCTTATCTTGTTTACTGTATTAAAAATAAAGATTACTACATGTGGGCTCAGCGATAGTGAACTCTATCACAACGCGTTAACAGCGTTCGTACATGCGTGCTTGCCAACGGATATCAGTTTTATTTAAGAAAATAATATAAACAGAATCAAATAACACTTGCAGAAAACGATTCCATGATAGTCTGTTATTGTATTGTATTGTAATCATATAAAATTGTTATTGTTGTAATATGTAATAATAATATTAATGGCGATTTATTGTCATAGGCATTTTTTTTTACTTTTATAAAGTACATCATAAACATAATACATCATATATATAAAGTACACATAAAGTTATCTGAATTCGAAAACCATATGCAAATACGGATTCCTATATTGTTTATCTTTCAACTTACATACAGTTTTAATAGACTTTTATTGTGTACTCATCCAATAAAACAATGAGAAGACTTCAAAAAAAAATGGTCTCCACGCTTTTAGGCTAATGTCACTTTAGAGACGCAATTTCTCGAAAATACATAATAAAACACGTCTACAGAAGTTTATAGCAAAAGAAACATTCAGAAATAAACATATTGTAACAATTCACTAACTTTTTCTTAAAAAAAAATCCATACAATCCGTAATTTACCAGCACTCTCACAGCACTACAAGCGTAGCATCTCAAGCAAATTCACAGTACTGATTAAAGGTCTACTTAAATATTTTTTGAAAGAGTTAGTTGTGTTGTTTAATACGAATTAATGGATAATGTTTCACTCTATTGGGGAAAAAATAGTCACACATAAATGGAACTTATTTTAATAGATATAAAAAAAATTGCCCAATAACCAAGGTTTTTTTTAGAGGATGAGAGGAGAGACACATCACATGACAGATTCTCTTAAGAGGATGATGGGATATTAAATATTATAAATATAAGCAGAATTGGACTGCAGGACCATGTCAAAGAAAAATAATTTTATTTTTATTTTCAGTATCTTTATACTATTTTAATTTTATATATTAACTTAAAAAGACATTAGTTTGAGCAACTAGTTTGTTTTGATATTGGTGGTCTTTTATTCTCCTTATTTTTAAATACGAATTATCCTTACAGAGTAATTATCTACATTTAAATAATAATTAGTATACTTATTTAAACATTAACTAATTAATCTTACTAATTAATTGTACTAGAACTGTATTAACAAATAAAGTCAGAGAACCTCTTAGATTACTAATGTTTCACAGAATGGTCCCACTACTGCAATGAGAACTTTGTTCAGCCAAGCCCTAATATAAATTGTTTCATTTATTTTTAGTTGGATTTCAGCAGCCATGTTTCTCTATTTTTAAAATTATTTATTTTTATTTCATTCCTTTTAGTGAACATTAAACAAATACAAAGTACCTATAAATTTTTGAATTATACTTTAATTTGACATTCATATTATTATAATAGAAGAAAATATTCTTTTTCATATTTTATAAAGATGTAAATGTGTTATTATGTACATCTTTTTGAATATTTAAAATATTATATACCCAGTGTCACTCGGGATGATGTAACGTTTCCCATGATACCCTATACATTTATATCCGTTAAATAATTCAAAAGTTATGGTGGTATAAAGAAACTCATATGAGTACAACATTAACCCTAAACATAATACTCTTTTTGACAAGTTGTGTAATTAAGCAACAAACATACTTAGCAAATCATAATTAATACATTCAATTGAATTCTATTTCCTAACATTAGTTACTGATTACTTGAAAAAAATACCATGCCCAATTCAATAATAGTCAAACAAACATGTTATATAAGGATATATGAAATACGCTAAAAATAACAATGATTGTAAATTAATTGCACTTACCTAGTAACAGTTCTGGAGGTCTGTACCATAATGTCACTACTCTATTTGTATATTTATTTGCTTGTCCCGACTTTGCAACACTAAACGCTCTTGCTAAACCAAAATCTGCTAACTTTAAAATACCATTCTTTGTTATCAACACATTTGCAGCTTTCATGTCTCTGTGGAGGATTTTGTTACTGTGGATATAGTAAAGTCCGTTCAGCAACTGCTGCATCACTTTTTTTATTTCACCAAGACTGAATTTCACGTTAACGTTCGATAACAAGCCCGCCAAGTCGTGTTCGCAAAAGTCGAATACTAAATAAAATGTAGATCTATATTTATTATGCAGAGTCGCCTTAGTTCGGCATATTTCGATGAGATTGACAACGTTTTCATGTTTCAGAAGTTGGAGAATCTTGATTTCACGCAGTGCAGTGATCGGGAATCCTTCCTTTTCATTGTCCATTAACACTTTCTTCATGGCCACGAATTTTTTACTGCTGTTACGAGCACGGGCTTTAAACACTTCTCCAAAGGTTCCTTGACCGATTTTCGCGACTTTTTCATATTTTGAAGACTCGTCACAGAAGGGAAAGTCGAAGTCCTCAATGTACTTTTCTTTTTCTCTCATATTCAAGATCGTTGAGCTTGTACTAATTACTGGCGGAGCTTGCTCCCTAGGAGCAGTCACGCCTTGCATTTTCGATGCAATCGTGGTGGATTCCAATAAACAACTGGTGAAAAAATAAAAACACTTGCAAATCAGTGAACTGCAACAAAAATACCATGTGTGCAAATAAATAGGGAAGAGACAGTTAACATTCTAGATTGTATAAAAGTGATTGTTAATCGATATAAATCGATGTTTTGGAAGTAGAGGTAATAATAAAAATGTCTTCTCAGTTTTATTTGATAAGGAAACAAAATTACTTATTTAAAAATATTTAAATAATTGATAAGTTTTCTGTATTAGCGATGGGCGATTATTACTTTAAAAAATCGAATTAGTCGACTGTTCGGCTTAGTCGATAGATGTCGATTACAATTGATGTTGTTCGATTGTTGTTAACAACTAAACCTTGCGGCGGCGGCGGGCGGCTATGACACGCTGCGGTTACCGTAATTACTTATTCAATTAATTACTAGCACAGTGCTATATATACCCGTGCGTACTACGTGTGGCGTGCACTGCGCTCAACTGCAGTTATTATGTGATTGGCGCATTAGCGCCGGACAGCGGACAACTAAATAACGTATTAACGTTATTTAGTTGTCTGTTTCACACATCCATTCGATCGTCGCAATGTAGTTGTTAGTTATCTATACTATCAAGCGACGAATAAAGTTGGAATACCATACAAACAAACCTTGAAATGTACCATCGCTAACCTACTACATCTTTTTAGGGTTCCTTACCTAAATGGTAAAAACGGGACCCTATTACTGAGTTTTCGCTGTCCGTCCGTCCATTCATTCATCCGTCTGTCTGCCACCAGGCTGTATTTCATGACGGTTCATGAACCGTGATAACAAGACAGTTGAAATTTTCACAGATGGTGTATTACTGTTGCCACTTTGATATAAACATTTAATGGGGCTCCCATACAACAAACGTGTTTTTTTGCTTCTTTTTTTTGCTTACTTCTGGTACGGAACCTTTCGAGCGCGAGTCCGACTCGCACTTGACTGGTTTTTTGTATAATGTTACTTCTCTTTCTTGTTGTGGAATGGAAAGTGACTTCATATTCTAATGAAGTCACTTTTCAATAAGACTTCTCTGTGTGAAATAAAACAGGGAGAAAAAAATAGCCCTTGCTGAGTTTCTTGCCGGTTCTTCTCAGTACAAGGTCTCCCGCCGTAGTTTTGCGAACCGATGGCGTAGTTTTCGACTTTCACAAGTGCTCTGTAAAAGCCTAAATTGAATAAATAAATTTTGATTTGATTTGATTTGATTTGATTTGATTTGTTATAAATAATAATATAAAGACCAAATAATGAGGAAGTATTTAAAAAAAACATTAGTTCCCGAAATCAAACTAGATGTCGCCACGGTACGTTCTTGATTTCTCCATGACAACCCTTCTGGTTTTCTTTCATATTTAAAATGAAATTAGTTTTCAAAACTCAATAAACAACTCATATTCTATTTGTTCTTTTTCGTATTTGTATTGATATCTAAATTTCGAACTTTTCAAATTTCTGTTTTTTAATATGTTAGTAAAAAGAGCGGGTAGCGGTAACGTTACGCGCCGTCGGCCGCGGGCGCATGATTTTTTTTAGCCGTTATCAGTCACGCACTGATTGTAAACGCTGTTATGAATTACGAAACCGATATTGTGTTATTTTCAATGTAAAACTAAGATTAAAATCTCTGATGTCTATTTTAATAGATAACTTAAATATTTAATAGGAATTAGGTATCATTATTTCACTACTGTTTTCCCATACTTTAATACAAGATACTATTACAATTAATAATTGATGAAATAATTTAAAAATTCGTGGTGGGTACACGCCACGAATTTTTGTCGCGATGCTTGAAAGGAATACCGACCGCTTCTCGGATACGCGTCGATTGCCCATCGATCAGCCCGAAATCAGCGCCTTACTAACACGAACGTTCCATTACACGTACGTAAAAAAATCATATGTCGTATATCGTACTCAAAGTGGGTAGCGCATAAAGGAATATTTTGGGTTGTCAAATTATAGTGAATTGTAGTGATTTTTCCCATCCAAATACAAAGAAAATCGTATTTTCGCTATGTAATAAAATCGTATTTATTTTAAATTAAATATGTTTTATGAATTGGAGTGAATGTTGCATTATTTTATAGTTCATCGTTTACACCGTTTATTATTGATCCAATTTTTCGAAATAGGTCAAGCTTTCATTTTATTGGCAAAAACTGTAAGTAAATACTTAATATAACAAAACTAATAAATACCTTTATGTAAAATGTAGTTGTATTAAGTTTTATAGCTTAACAAAAATGTTATCATTACTCCGTTGTTATTTGGATGTTTACAAAGAGTGTACGCCCCTTTTAGTTTTATTTTTATGTAATATTTATCTGTCTATCTCTTCACACCGAGTCCCTTGCGAGGTATTTAGAAAGAACTCCAGAATTTTTACTTGATCCCACCCACCAACATCCCTTACTGAAGGACCAAGTTCCCTAGAAAATATCTCTATTAGATATCCCCTGTCTGTCATGTGTGTCATAAAGGTGTGGACAGACAGATCACTCGATGCTCAGGCTTACTATGGGCACATGTATGTTTTGATAGGACATTTATTTATTTGGGAAATTTGGTATACATAATGTAAGTCAGTGATTGTAATATAGCCATATAAAATATTTATGAGAATTTGAAATAAGGAACAAGATAAAAGGCTTTTGGAAGGTAAATAAAAAACATTGAAAAGGGCTTATTGTAATGATCTTAAATATATATTTTTTATTAATAGAATCTGTAGGTATTATGAATACACTATCATTTCATATACCAAAACAGCAAGTTACTTTTTTAATAATCATGTCCCTTATGTTTTTAGAATCATGGCAAGTGAGAGCAGCTCAGCGGTGTTGGAGCTTAACGATACAGACGTAACGGAGGATACGGAGCCCCCAAGTGTTACAGATGACAATGATGGTGCACCACTCATAATGGAACACGGATATGATATAGCTGTGAAGGTATATTGTAAAAACTTACAAACACTACTTCTCACAAACATTTGTGAAATAATAAATAAAATATTTTTTATTGATTACTTCAACTTACACATTGTGTTCTTGGTATTTTCACATATCTGGTTGAATGTACAATTTTGTAACATTTATTTATTTTATGTTGTGTTTGTAGGTGGACGCTCCTCTGAAGCAGATGTCAACATTAGAAACTTTTGTGACATATCGTGTGCGGTGCGTGTGTGCACGATGGCCGACGCCGAAATTTGTACGGAGACGATACAACCACTTCAGAGTGAGTTCTGATGGCATGTGTACACAAAAATATTTTGATGGTTGATGCTGGACAAAATTACTAGGAGATTTACATTGGACGTACCTAACTAGTAGTTGACTGAGTGGCTTAAAAGAGGCATTTTACAGAAATGCATGAATTTTAATAATGGAGAGAATGCTACTACCTCTTTGAAAACTTAAACAAAACAGAACAAAGACAGCATCATTAAAATAAACAATAATTATACTCATTAGTTTGTTTTAATATTGAATAGTGATCATAGTTTAGTTATGTGTATCGTGTTAGCTACACGGTTGTGTATAGTTTTGTTGTGTGATGGTTGTGAGGCTCTCCACAAGCGGCTGTGTGCCGGTCACCCGCTGATAGCGGTGCCTCCGCTGCCGCCGCTGCACTCCGCCCGACAGCAGCTCGACAGATACTCGCCCTCGTTTGTGTGCATAAGGACACTAGCACTGGATGCGTTCCTAGGTAACCAACAAAACATTATACATTAATAACACATTTCTAAATCCATATTGATAATTTCTTATATTCTATGGAAGAGCACTGATGTCTGAAATACAGATAAATCTTTTTTATCTAACTCAGACACAGATGTTTAGAAATGTGCAATGTGTAATTAATTAATGAAACTATTTTAGTACTTATTTTATGAAACTAAGTCAAATTATAATTCCAACGTCACCTATTGCCGAGAATAAACAACCGCAATGTTCCACCACGTTGAAAGCAAAGGTATAAGTGGATAAGTATTTTGCGATCAGACCGCGTTGCGAAACATCCGATACTGACGCACAGCGAGGACCTGCGGTTGTTCCTCACGACGCCGGACGACGACCTCGGGCGGGTGCTGCGCCCCGAGGGGGGGCTCGCCCTGTGGGGCCTCGCCGCCTTCACGGGGGACAGGCCGCCCAACGGGCCCAGGTGATTATGTTACATTTATTTGATATGAATCGATCGAAGACTAAATATACATATAATAAATAATAAAAATAAAAAAGCCTTTATTATTCCGTTTGGCATGTGTACAGTACATGTTAGTAGGTTATCGTTAAGTATCCTCTAGTCTAATGCCACCTGGACCCCTCTACGGGTGAAGGCCTCCTCCAGAGATTGCCACTTAACGCGGTTTTTTGCTAGAATTGGCCAATTTCTTGTACCGAATGATTCTATTTCGTCCTTCCATCTCGCTTTTGGTCGGCCTCTGCTTCTATATCCATGGGGACCACTCCACATAGTCACAGTCTTTGTCCACCTCTTATCAGTGTAGCGTGCCACGTGGCCCGCCCACCTCCATTTCAGGCCATACATATACACTTTTTTTATATTTACTTAAATTGTAATGGAAATTGACTTCTTAATTTAATGAAGTAATTTTTAGACCTTGACGCCTCTGTATGAAATAAAATAGGGAGAAAAAAGTAGCCCTTGCCGAGATTCCTGCCGGTTCTTCTCAGCACAAGGTACCGCTATAGACTTGCAAACCGATGGCTCAGTGTCGACTTTCACGAGTACTTTGGAACAGACTAGACCGAATAAAAGATTTTGATTTAAGGGATTTTGAAATTTTGACCAACCGGTGGCCTACTTATGAGTTTTGAAAGGGCATTTTTTTAAACTTGATTTTCACAGAGTTAGATCGTTTTTGTTTCTTAAAAATAGCGACTCGTCGGGGATTTGTTTAAAAATGTGTATGTCGCTCGCTGGCCGCAGAGTGAAGGACCCCGAGTTCTCGCGCGCGGCGGAGTACCTGGCGGCGCTGCAGCACAAGCTGGCGGCGCTGGACGCGCTGGCGGCGGCGCTGCAGCGCGGCCACAGCGACGCGGCCGAACAGCTCATGCGGTGAGCGCGCCTATTAGTTCCTCAATATTTCACGTGTGTTTATTTCAGATTAAAACGAAAAGTGGCGTCAAATATTAAGATTTTTTTAGATTTTTTTTAGGGGGGGGGGATAGACTTTAACTTCATCAAAATGCTGAATAAAACATTACATGATTAATTATCTACTTTACTCTCTATATTTGTTGACTTAAGTTCACGCTCGTAGTTAACAAACTTTGGCCGAATGATTGTCGCGCCATCTGGCGAGCAAAACAAATAGTAACGCTCATAATGAATTTGTCATAAAAAAAACATATTAAAATGATCAACAACAAAATTAAGTTGATATTTTGAGATATTTGATCGTAATTCTTGGATTCTTGTCTCTTTAAAAAATATTTATAATAATATTAAAATATTTCGTAATTATACAGGGTCATTTGCATAAACCAAAGTACACGCAGGACTATTTTATGGCAGATAGTTTACATTGTACACGACAATATTTGATTAACGAGTTTTACCACAATTCAATACATTGAATAAATAATGATTTTTCATTTTTTATTGTGTTATCATAACATTTATAGGTCTATGTTTTAGTTATATACATTACAAGTTAATGTTGTTAATCGTTCGTGGTGTTTGTAAGGCGTCGGTGTACGAATGATGTGTTAAAAAGTAGGGTTTTTTGCGTACAACATTGACAACAAGAAAGCAAGGCAAATTTTTACACGCAGTGGGCACTTATTCTCGGTGATCTTTGTCTCGTTGCCCAAAATTGTTCGGCCGATTATCACTTGCCAAATTACGTTTCGCGTTATTTTGTTTCGCCTCGTAATCAGTCGCCAAATTATCATATAAATTGGTTTTATTTTTGAACTTCACCGGTACCGGCCGGACGCGGTACGCTTTATACAATGGCATTTTCGAAATGCCAACTCGTAAGGAGCAAAACGTTCGACCCGACGGCGCAATCGGAAAGGAAAACCGATAAGAGAAACTAGTGATTGAGAAACGAGAAAACTCCCAAATGTTTTTCATGACTCAAAACATAGCAGCCGGCTCGACGATAATTCTACCTAACGACACGTCGTCATACAAAAAGTTGCCAACCGTCAGGACTTCTAAGTGTAATGTCAGTCGGCAAGCTACAATCGGCCAAATGATTTTCGGTGAAAAAGCAGGAAACCACTCGTAGGTAGTCAGGATACAGGGGATTTCATTTCTTATGATATAGTATGAAGCGCGTGTGCGACGCGTGGGCGAGCCAGGCGGGGGGCGCGCTGGCGCGGGGCGCGGCGGGGGCGGGCGCGGGCGCGGGGGCGGCGGCGGGGGCGCGCGCGGGGGCGGGGGCGGGCGCGGGGGGGCTGCGCGCGCGCGCCGCGCTGCCGCTGCTGGGCGCGTACTGCGCCGCGCACGTGGACAAGATCCGGCAGCGGGACCACCTGCACGGTGAGTGGGCGATTGCCCTTAATATCGACTGATGAGTGCCGACCAGGGTTGCCGACCATCCTATATGTTGGGCCTGCTTCCTGAATACTGTTTGAGAAATGTACACGGTTATATTTTTATTTTAAATAATAACCGTGTATATTGTAAAATTTGAAGAGGTGAATCGGAACACTTAATATGATATATATGTGTACTAAGGCATGCAACTGGGTTTTTTACCGGTTGTCCGAATTTTCCCGGTTAATCGGCCGATTTGAAAAATGAAAAAACTTTTTTTTACTCCAAGAAAAAACTGGTTTCTTCGTTTTTTATTTTAGGGTATCTGAAATGGTATATGTTTGTTTTCATGTCTAAACAAACAAGTAAAACAATGCTTTTTTAATTTATTTATGTATACTAAATAACACTGGCTGCAAATTAAATATTCAACAAGGCGAACTTATGACGTCATAAAAAAATATGAAGAATATTTTTTTTTTGCAATAATAATATGGGTATCAAATTAAAGGTCTTGATGAATACATTCGACTGTATATATAATACTGATAATTTAAAAGACTAAAATAAGAATTAAAAAACATTTACATATTTATATTTATGAATGATTTATTTATGAAACACAACTCCAAAGTTTCTGACAGTTGCAGAGTAAGAAATAATATTGCCGTCGAAAGTTATAGAAGGCAATTGTAAAAAAAACGAAATAACTATGAAGTAAATGCATGTCATTACGATAAACCGAATCTACGCATTTTATTCATAAAACCTTTTATTTTAGATTTTATCACAAATAAATCAGAAAAACGAAATAACCGGAAAACCCGGTTAACATAATCATTTTAACCCGTCAATAACAGTTTTTTTAATAAGTCCGGTTTTTGTATGCCCTATCGTGCAGTTACATTTTAAAAAGTAAATAATGTTATAATTTTTTTTTAATTCTTTCCATTACAAAATTTAGATAATCTTAGGTCCCACAAAACTATATTAATATAAAATCGTTTCTGAAAATTCGTAAACATGTATTGGAAAACTCGCAAATCTATCAGAGTGCAAACCGGTGTCCTATATCTTAATAAGTTATTTTTAAAAATTCTATATTTCGCTGAAAAATTGTTGGTTACCCCAGTGCCGATTTCTCGTGGATGCATCCGGGACCGACCGAAGGCTTAACGTGCCTTCCGAAGCGCTGATGAGTGAGAGATAGTTAATTATATCCATTCACAATATCTCTGGCCTACACATGTATCAAACCTTAGCAATATCAGCACACCACTCCAATATGGCTTCCTCTGAAGTGTATTGAATTAATCGAGCATACATAGTTTTGTTCGTTTATTACAGCCAGCTATGTGTCCGGGTCTAACGCCACAGGAGAGTTACATAACAGGTGAATATATTTATTTAGTTTATTTTGAAAAAGATTAATATTTTTAACTGTAACTTACTAAAATTCAGTTGATTTATTTTAGAAGTTTTCATAAAGTAAGCGTTTAAAAAAGAACAAAATACGTCTCTCTCTTTACATTCTTAATAGGAGTAACAGAATCTGATGGCAAATTGGGAAATTTTAATTTGTGGAAAGCAACATTGGGGAAAAAGGATAAAGGTGTCTTGATACTTGTAAATATTTTTGATATAATAATACTGCTACTGTACTGCTGACCATATTCCTATTTTTGAAAATTTCGACATAGATTAGCCATCTGCCTGGGATATATTATAGTCCACAAACATACACCTGTACACTCTGTACTACCATCATCTAACATTTTTGACGGGACAGCCCCCGGACCAGAAAAAACCCAATAATATTTAACCTCACTCGGAATCTAACACGAATAAATGATAAAAAGCTATACTTAATGTATTTTTTTATTGCCAATCTCTACTAATATTGCCACTGCTGTTACGCTTACACATCTAAATCAAATCTGATTTAGTCTATTTTCTTCTTTTAACGGTTCCTATTTTTACCCGATTTAGTAAAATGCCTTCACAAATAATTCATTTTATTGTAATAGTCGACACGCCAACGAATATTTACTATTTAATTCTTTAAAAAAGAAATAAGTATTTTCTTCTTTTTAATTAATAGCATTGCTCTTGTGAATTTCGCCAGAATTTCGCTCAGTTTATTTCATATTTTAGTATTTTATAAACTCTGCTTTTTGTATTTTGGTAGTGAAAGCTCAAATTAAGTATCAAGACTTCTCATCACCAGTTACTAGTCAATTCATAAACACACTTTAAAATCAAAAAAATTGGTTGATCTTCAGCTTCTTTTCACAAATTTTGAAATAAACTTTACAAACAATGTTTGTCGCTTGTGCTATCAATGGCTTTTTGGGCATTTTCGTAAATATTCACACTTTGACCTGAAAGTATTTGTATTGTTTTATGAAAATCGTGATTTGTTTTTTTTTTTTTTTGTTTTTTTGCCATCAAATTCTCTTACATTTATAACATTTCGAATTCACTGCCTCGAATTCATTATGTAACTAACAAATAATTTAATGGTTAAACTTATAAAATGAATCATGAAATTTTAGAATTTAAATAAGAATCGAATAGTAAAAAAGTATGTGTCCACTTCTAATTTGATATGTCTTGAAACAGACTGGAACAGGCTTCAGAGGCGCTCCGTTCAGAATTATCCGATTGGATACCGAAGACTCGTTCAGAAATCAAATCGTTACTCCTAGAAATCGCCGAGAGGCAAGTGAGCGTTCACAAACAGACGATGATGGGGTGGGAGAACGCGTTGAAACTGGCCACAGAGACGAACAACATGCGGGAATTGTTCAAAACAGTGTCAAAGAACGCCGTCCAAAATCTGTCGCCGTCAAAATACAACGCCACGCCCACGGAGACAGAGAGGGACTTCGACGACATCAGCGACAGTACAGACTTGTCGAAAGATAATGATTTCGAAGTTGGCAATTTGAAATTGGACGCGGAGAGCAAAAGAAGCGACAGCCCTGAAAATTATGAAGTCATAAAAGATAACGGCGAAGTGTTCACAAGCGAATGCGAGAAGAACGGATCGACGGAGAGTTACGAAGTGGTCGGTGACGGTGATGAAGTCGACGATGGAAATCGTGAAGTGGTCTCGGACCCTTTGAGGGATTTCTCAGAGGTGGACCTGTCCTCATGATTGTACGACCACCTGTTTGTGAATATATTGAAAGAGTTTTGATGTGTTTCATTTGTATATTTTGAAATTACGAGAATTTATTTATATATGTTGATATTTTTTGTATTACGATTAAATTAATTGTAAAACTAATTAGGATATAAAGATCTCTTATCGTAATATGGCGATACTGAGAACACGTGTCGATTAATGTCATGACAGGGTCGTATTTGGACATCCAAGTAGATTTTTTTATTTTTAGTCAATTTGTAATTGTAGTTTAACATGCCTTACGGTATTTCTTAATTTCGAGATTCCGAAATTTAATTTCAGTACACGAATTATTTATTTATGTATATTTTAAGTATTTATATAACAATAAAAAAAATATTATTATGAATATTGGTTATTCTAAAAAAAACTGGAATAATAGAAATAGTCACATTTATTTTTTATTCATCTCCAAACACATACATACGCTCATTAGGTTGCCATGGCTACAAATTGTGACTAATGTTTATCAAAGTGTAACCAAAACACACTTTGGCAGCCATTACTGCATGTAATTAGCGTTTGTACTTACTATTTAAAACCAGCCAAAATGTAGCCTAGTGAGTAAGCTTCTATATTTTAATATGAATAGTTTGAATGAGCCACGGTATATTCAATCAATTCTTAATCCATAGTACTTCTGTATACGTAAGACGAACCATGTACGTCTACTAGTATTATTAATGTATCCAAAGCAATTAATATATAGACTAATAATAAGGTGTATTAATTATTATGTGATTTTTTAATCATCCAAATTAAGTCCTGAAGTCGAAAATACTTTGAAACTAGAATTTTAGTAACATGTAAATATTAAACAAAAACATATCGAGGATTGTAATCTATTAAAGGTGTTCAGGTTCTTCCTAACACCAATTTTTTATTCTAAAAAGAATTACGTAAGCATAACATGGATATGACGACACAATAGTTATAATAATTTTTGAGAAAAATTTGTGACAAAAACTTGGCTAGATTAATTTAAAATTGATTTGTTTACAGTATACCTATAATAGTCCACTATAACACATAAATATTCATATTACCTGTTTACCCAGTTGGAATGTTTAAGCTTTTATAAGTTCGAATTTCCTGTCAATAAAACTAGGGTTGTAATTTGATAATTTTTATTTATTGCCAATGAAAATGTCTGTATTTATTTATAGTGGCATAAAAATATTATATAACTTACTACATGTAGTACGATATTATTTACGTACTATGTATTGTATATATTACTTTTTTCTTTCGAAATATCCGCTTATCACTGGCGCCATCTATTGAAACAAAATGTAACATATATTCCACCGTATTATTACCTACTTCGGCGGAGTTAGTCAAAGTACTTGAATTTGAGCCGCGAAAACAGGTTAATAAACTAGAATACATTGTTTATCTACATTTAATTAAAATCAGTTATTCGACCGAATATTAGTACATAGTTAAAAAAACTACCCAGTAATAAAGACGCGTAAAGTTTGACAATAAGGTAATAAGGGCAATCTAGAGTATGTTGTGTATAATGCAGTTATATTTATGTGTCCATTATAATTTATATGTAAATATTGTAATTCTTTTACGTACCTATATCGGTATTTATTTATTTATTTATTATTATTGTATTAAAAAAAGATGATTTTACATTATGATGTGTTGTTTGTTATAGCGAGTGATTCTCCCTGTTTTCCCGCTCCTTATTCCCTCTCTGTCTATTCAACATATCTAAGAACTTACACAGAAAGAAGGAGCGATTTGGCTGTGAATCAAAAGACGCAGTTTTAATTTCAATACTGTAAACATCTTATCTGTCTGTAACTCTGATCTCTACTAACAATCAATGTACAACTAAATATATTTAATTCGCTGAACAGGTTCTTGAGTAAAATCGGCAAGTTCATGGAAACTCATTCAAAATGCAATTTTCTATTAAAATCATTTGATTGTAGTAGACACTGCCGTCTCATAAAAGCCCTGTCTTAATTATAAAATCGTTATGATACAGGGTTATGGGTAATTAGACAGGATCCTATGAAGGGGTCATAAAGGACGTCATTTACAATTATATTCACCTCACATTGTGTATCTGAAAGTGTGCTATTTTTGTGATAAATTGTATAAATTTTTTTCTTTAAAAAAGTTGTTATAAATTAAATTATAGTCAGAATCTAATTTTGTTGACAGTTTTGGAGAAATAATATTCCAGTTCGTGATAAATAATAATAAAACCCAAATAAGCTTGACCTGAAATATATTTTTGGTTGTTGTAAATTTGGAAATGAATAAAAATTATAAATGGCCCCTTAATAGGATCCGGTCTAATTATCCATAACCCTGTATATGTTATTCAATTTTCTAAATGCTGGGCTCCAGGTCTTTCTTGTAGACAAAAGCTCAGGCAAAACAGACCATAAAACAGTAATTAAAAAATGCATGTCGAACAACAAAATCATTTATTTTATAAACAATTCCACCAACATATGCGCATTAGTACACGCCAACAATTGGAAATGTACATCTTTATAATCAAGATACACACACATTCTTCTTTATAATATTTTTAAATTATTTACATAACGTTGAAGTCGCTCCAACCAAAAATGTGTGCTCTCCCTCAGTATAACTACATATAAACCAACTACTAAGCAACTGGCACTTATAGCAATAGTAACTGATATTAATGTACACAAGGCTGCACATACTACCACAACATGTTAAATTTCCACAAGCTATTTTGTATTCTACCCTGAAAATATTATGGTTTAAAATCAGTAGCAATCGATTTGACAGTTTTGGATAAATAGCGTGCCTTATTGACCTGGATTCTAGCGAAATCCACAAGGACAACGCCATTAATTAAAAAGAAGAAGAATAAAATTGAACTTATACATATTGATGATTTGAAGCTACTATGGACCCATTTTAAACTTTTGCTTACAGGAAGCTACATCGTATGCGGGTAACATGTGCTATAATTAACAGGGGAAAGTCACTTCAGGTCTGCAGAAAACAGCTAGTATTATTTGTTACTTTATAATAATTCTAAAGCTCAGAAAATTACAACTTCACAAGCATTCGTAACAATACATACTCAAGATATTTCCAGTCACTACGCTATAAGTACACACAGTAGCGCGTCAGGTTACTACAATATGTTAAATTTCCACAGCTGATTTTGACCTCTACCCTCAATATATTAAGGTTTAAAATCGGACGTAGAAAGCCCCTTTTTAATGGACTGAACTATGCATTCATTTTCAGTAGAATTCAACAGTCAATGGAATGATAGGATGCTAATGCCAATAGATTTTTAATAAATCAATAGCAACATTCACGATTCCACTAATATTATTAAAATTCTTTGGATAATCTATGTAGGTACCTATAATAAGAAAACACATGGTGTACCAAAGACACCATTAATTCTATTTATGGGTCATTTTGTATAGCCTGTTAATTAAATGTTAACATGTTTTGAATTTTAAATATACTACCATAATCAATAATAACAAAAATTCAAGTATTCAAATGTTACCTTTCAGACACTTGAAATGTAAGTAAATTTTTGGTATCTAAAAATATTTTATACATATTAACAATATTGCCATCTATTTTTGCAACAACTTTAAATGCTTATCATTGATCAAATGATATGCCTAAATGAAGTTCGATCATAATTATGCCTCAAGTGCCTCATCCGAAGAGATTAGTATAATTATCAACTAATTTAGTATACTATTTAGTCATGCCTAAGTGTTGCCCCTTTCAGCATTATGTTTACTTTCGTAGAAAAAGGCGATTTCTGGTTTAATTTTTTCTAATTTTATTGGCTTAATATTAAAAAGTACACATAATTACAATGCGATTTCTTTTAGCCATTTCGTAATTCGCCCTAAGTGGCCGAGCATTAAAAAGCAAATGCAGAGTGGTCGGTGGAGTGGTTAAGTTTCCCAATCTTCTAAAGATACTGCTGAAAGTGGTAATCATAGTGTAATATTCAAATAAGTTAGTAAGTAATTATACTAATATTGAGGATGAGGCAAGAATATAATATTATTTTTACAAAAATAATTGTGATTACTAGTATAAATGTTCAACGCAGCGCCATCTACATATATGACTCACCACATACTTGAATACATAATTAAAATAACTATTAAAATAATACATAAACCTAGGCCTCACATTTCTAAAATCCATTTTATAATATCAAGTAATTAATATAAGTTTTTGAAGTGAGAAATGCATCAATTCTAAAACTAAGTAGGTCACATGTAGTTTTACAAAGAAAATAGATATAAATATATTGTAGAAATTCTTTTACAAACTCATTTAAACAAAGAATACTTGTGACTTGAATTGGATAAATTTACGTAATAAATACATTTATGACTTGGTCATGATAAGGCCGCGCACAGACTACGATTGTGGTGTGAAACGTGACAATGGTGGCAATTCTGTTGGCACAAACAACTAAATTTAGTTTTAATTTTGTAAACAACTAGGATAGCAGAAATAACCTTATAAAGGAGTATAAATTTTTTTGATTTCATTTTGACTGTGGAAGAATGTTAAAGTATATCCAAAATATAGTTAGTTATAATAGTACATCAGAATTGGCTCCAATCTCATCAGTATAATATGACTCCCTGTTGTTAGCAGCTGCCTCAAGTGCACCTAACAGGACAGAACAATCTAATCAGTAGTCCTCAGAGTAGTGTTGTTGTGTGACATTATGAACATACATGTCAGTTCGTCGCAATTTATCCTGCCACTGACAGGTCAGCAGAGGTCTCACGTTTGACAGAAAAAAAAAAGTTGTTTGTATGCAGCCTTTATTTTAGATAAGAACTAAAAGAACTGCTTTTGGCTCTGTCACCTTCAGACGAGTTTATACGAAATTGACTATGTAAATTAATTACACAACATATGAGCTGTTATTGATCTAGAGAAACTCATTCTCATATAAGGCTATGTGTGCACTGGTGATTTTTGTCATAGTAATTTACAGTGCTCCTGTCGTATTCTCGAGCACAGTGATAGGAGACAAAAATTTACCAGGTTGTACGTAGCCTTATCTCTAATAGATATAATTTCAGACTAATTAGTTGTCAATCTTTAATTTCTTTAAGTCAATAAATAAATTACTAAAAGAAATATTACAGTCATTACAGCTAAGAATCTATTCATTACATAGTTATAGTAATCTTGATTCAAAATACTCGAAGACCGCTCAAATGTGTATTTTACATTATTTTTTCTTCAATATTTAATATTGTGCGACAGAGACTGACCAAATCCACAATTATTTCTTTGACATTTCCAATTTGTGCTACATAGTAATTCCTGTAACATCCTAATCGCACATCAGGTTATATAAATTAAAGCAAAAAAACAACAACAGAACAGTCGTACAAAGTGCTTAAGTATCCAAAAGTTTAAACTAAAAGTATCGCTTACCGAGAAGCGGGTATAGACTTCAATCTTGCGTTTCACTTTGTCGCAATACAAAAATAACCACTAGACACATCACTGATCTGGCACGTATCACTGTCACATATTTGGAACGGCACTAGGGGGTGCACTAAGAGGAGTGCTTGGCGACGCCGACTAGCGCGGGCCTGACGCAGCGCTCGTGCAGTTTGTAGCCGACCTTGCTGACGGCCACCACCGTGCCTGGCTCCGCGCCCTCCACCTCCTGCAGTACACATATAATAAAAAATAATAAAAATGTTCTTTATTAACATTATTTTCATCAATTACAATTTTGAAATTATCCCAGTAAGTAATATAAAATACTTGTATTGGGACCATTTCGCTCCAGCTTTGTGGCAAGTACATATTTTAATGTTAACAAGAACCAACATTAATGAATGAATGAATTTGTGTGTGAGTATTGTGTTGTGAAGGTGTGTATTGTGTTTTGTGTGTGTATTGTGTTGTGTATTGTGCCTGTGGGTGTGTGTTGTAATCTACATATATATTATATGTTTGTATTTGTATGTATATGAATTTAACTAACTCCAAGAAATAGGTTACCAATTACACTTATGTGTACATAATTTAATGCTCGTCTATGGCCCTTTAAAAACGAGTTGGACTTATATAGGCATTGGCACTTTACCTGTTGGAATAGTGCTTCATGTAAATTCGGGTCGAATTTCTCGCGTAACGGCGACACCGCCACCAGACCGTGTCTCGCGAACACCTGCAAATCAAAATACGAATATTTATATGGTACGTAATAATTATTTAATAAACATCCACTAAATGATTTAGGGACCGTTCAAGTATTACGTAACGCAATGTTTTAAAGTTTTTTGACCCCCCTCTTCCCCATGTAACGCACCGTAACGTTTTTATGTACCCCCCCTCCCCCTCTCTTAACGTTACGTAACACTCGGGTGACCATTTTTACCTTAGAATCGCAAAAAGTAATGACGTTGATAGAAGTGATTCGAAATCATATGCATGGGTATTCGCTGTGGAGGATGTGGGTTTCCCGTTCCCTATGGAAATGTGTGTCGGCCCACTGTACCCAACAGCTTTTTCCTTACCAAAACTGTTAGGTTCCACGTTGACGCTGACGTATACAGAAGGAATAAGTTTGTGCTGCTCTGTCATGATCATAAGTTATGATCACGTAAAAATATTTTAGATGGATCGGTCATGGGTGACCAAAAAAATATATATTATCTCGAACTTCTCTTCGGAAGGCGCGTTAAGGCGTCGGTCCCGGCCGCGTCTGCAGGACGTTAATACCCTCCAATCCATATTGAGCCCGCGTGGAGAGTCTTGGCCCATCCTCCTTAACCACACATGCGGAAGGCCTTAACCCCTGCAGTAGAGATTTCCCTTCCCAGGACGGGTGCGGGGTCGCAGAGTTGCATTTCCCCAGCGTTAGTGTTGACAACAGCCAACAACAGCCACGTGCCACGAAAACGAACATATCGAACGACCAATTACAGCGCCTACATTTGTCGAATTATCGAGGAGCCCATTGGCTGCCTAGGCGCGGTCCGCACGGTGGGGGCGATTCCCCCACCCGGCGAGCGGGCGTAAAACGCGCTGTAATTGGCCGGCCGCCGCGCGTCACAAGTAGCTAAGTTAGAATAAGGGTAGGGTCAAATTTGTAAATATTTGTAGTCAAGTCAAGTGGTCAGTTCGAGTTAAGCAAGTAGTCAATAGTGAAGATACCAGTTTGTAAGAAGAAAAATAAATCGTCTCAAGCCGTGAAAACCGTCTTTGTTTTGCACCATCCTCAAAAGTTTGATCCATCGAGCCGGATCAGCATCATCAAAAGTTATCAGCATCCTCAACAGTTAGTATATGCGTATAAAGGTGTGCGACCTGGTTGAGCTGCGCGCGCGTGAGCAGCACGCCGTCCCGCAGCGAGCGCAGCGCCGCGTCGCCCGCGCCGTCCGACACCGCGCTCTCCGGCACGCTCTCCGCCGCCGCGGACAGTGTGTCCGCCACCTACAAATTATCACCGGACAATTATAATCTCGAGCTTCTCCGTGCCTCGGAAGGCATATTAAGCGTCTGCTAAATTGTTAGGGCGCTAAACAGGAGTGTTGACGAAAAAAATTAATAACCTTCTATAGAGAATAACAAATATTGCATCATATAATTTTAATCTTATCTGCTACTATCTCTATGTATAGTATTATGCCGCACGAGGATGACGAGACGGTCTGTCTATATCTAATATGATGTCACTCACGTCGAGTAAGTCTTTGCAGAAGCTTTGTATAGCAAACGACTTGGCGTCCTCCACTTGCTTCATCATGCGCCGGCGCATATTCTCGCTGTCGGCTAGCGCCCGCTTGTACTTGTCCTGGAAACAGTACCACGTTGATTATTTATTTATTATTACAAAAAAAAACCTTACAGGCCAACAGATTATAAATCCCATACACTTATGAGATTATATATAGTTAAATCATACAATTCGATTTCTTTTCATACTAGTACATTATTTTGTAGAAACGTCAAAAAGAACATACGTAAAATAGAAGTCAAAAATCAAAGAACTGTGTCATGGTTAAAATAAAATAATATATCATAATAGATTGGGCCGTAATTAAATGTCATTTACAATTGTCTTAAATTTATCATATAAACTTCTTATTTGTCAGCAAATATCACAATATCCCTATGCTGAGCAATTTATGGTGGATAGTTACATATCATACCATAATTACTTTGCGATCAGTAAGCACATTCTTACCGCAGTTGGTGCGTACAGTGGACAATATCAATGCTATGAAACATGATTCAAACATGTAACATGAAAGAACAGAAAAAATGTGTATTCAAGTTAAAAGAAATTATCAATTACAATTTCTTACTATTTAAGATTTTAACTGCTTTTATCAACAAATAAGTTCAATCTACTTCTAATTAAATTTTTTAATAGGCTTGAGGTGTGGAACCCTTTGATCTGCAATAAAGTGGTTAGGGTCCCACTCTGCTAGACATCTGCTTCTGGCACCAAATGTTCACCAATCTGCACTGAGTTTTGGATTGTCTTTAATATAATGAATCATTAATATAATAAAACTTGACTTCTACTGAAAATATTTAGTACAAAGCTAATTCACCAACCTCAATATCTTTGACCTGGTCCTTCAGGGTGGTTACTTCTGTAGTTAGTGCCTCAATCTGTTTGTGGCACTCCTCAATTGTTCCAGGTAATTTGTCATTTGAGTCCTTCTCTGCTGTCTTCTCCTCTGCACTGTAATATCGAGTTGAAGTCCTGCAAGGGGATTTTTTAATTTTAAATACAAATTTATTAAATTTTTATGATATTGACATTTACTGATATTTATAAAACGGGCACAAATAACTAATTCATTGATTAAGGACATCTGTGACAACAATTTCAATCTACAAGATTATCTCTTTTGGATTTAATTTCCTGACACAGATGTCTCTTTCTAAAAGACAGAAATATTACATACTTTTAGGAGATTAGACCCATAAAAATTCTTCATCTCTGGGTGAGTGTTGCCAGGAAAGTACAAATATATTAATATTGTTTTTTTGTACAAAAACTTGCGACACATTACATCGAAAGCAGTCCAAGTGACAACTCTTATTGCTATGCAGTAATCTCTTCTAGTCAAAAACAATAGAAAATACTCATCTGATCAGATCATGAAAATTATTTAATGGAAAGATACATTCTTGCTATGGGCTATAATTTCATGGGAAAAAGCTAGTGAATTATATAAATATATACAGGAGACCGAAAATTTCTGAATATTGCATCATCTTTTTAAAGGAAAAACATTATCAGAACAAAGCACCAAATGGACCAATAGGGAAAAAGGGCAGGCTAGATCAAATAAATATATCTATACGAATGCAATCATAACAAAAATTACTAATATAATAGACATGAAGTACCTAAGTATAATTGCATTAATTTAGTCCCTTTTCAATCTCACCACACTTCAATAATAAAGATAACTTTTGTATGACATGGGTAGATTGATACCATTTAATATTAAGCTGAAATCATTTCCATATTAAAAATAACTTTTCATTATTCTACATTGTCTTAAATTCTCTAATACTGTTTGAAAAACATATCAATACATTAAAAGCTTCGTAATTATAATAATACTAATATGAATAAAGATAATGACGACTAAAGTCTATTTTAAATTAAAAAAGAATGGATATTATAAATCGAAATATTTTAAGGTTATACGGAGTTTGGTTGCGCAATGATAGTACCTGTATATATTCCCTCGCAAAGTCGTTAGTGTTGATTCCGATAGATGTTTCACGAGCCTCCCAACAGAATACAATTTTATGGATGTCATTTTTGTAATAATTAATAGGTATTTTTCAAATTTTAACAAAATAAGTGGTCCGATTCGAGGTTATGCACAGACTTTACCACAGATTATGGACTTTACTGCTCTTTGCTTAGTAGGTATGAACCGCAGACTTTGTAGGTATATGAACGTTTAGGGATGTGTAAAATAAAACTGTCCATTCCTAAATACTATAATCAATACTTATTCTTTAAAAAAATATTTTAAAATCTTTTTTGTAAAATAAGAAAACATTGATTATTTCACAAACTTTTTATTTAAATTCATTTTCAACAATTAAGAAATTATATTAATTTCAAAACTATATTCATAAACATTTAATTAGATTAATTTCACACAATACTTTTTAAACTAATTGAATATAGTGCCCGCCCACAGGTGATCATTGTCAATTAATGATTATTAGTATTTAACATGCTTCGTAATATTCTATCTAGCTTAATTCCTACCAATATCTATACTAATATTATAAAGAGGAAAGATTTTGGTGTATGTTTGTTTGTATCGAATAGGCTTCGAAACTCCTAGACCGATTTTAAAAAGTGTTCATCTACGGTAAGCTACATCATAGGAAAGTGGCATAGGCGATAATTTACCCAGGCGAAATCGCGGGAAAACGGCTAATAATAGTTTGAATTATAAGTGCGGCTGTCCTGTAAGTTGATGTCAGTACGTCACTACCCGCAGGTCAGAATAGAATAATCAGTACCTATTATAATAATAATACTGGTTTGTTAGAAAGATAGTCTAGTCTATTCTTCTAACAAACCATCGATATTAAAAATTGGTTTATCAAAGTTGCAAGCATCTCATGTGATGGGTTAAGTTTTAAGCTTAGGGTTAAGTTTATAGATATATGGAAATTCATTCCTAGAATAAATGTCGCTTCGTTTAACTATATTTCAGAGAACGTAACGACCTGACGCACACGACACTACCGCAGAGATTTTTAAGAGAGCGTGACTGCTCTAGGTACTTTACAAGTAATATATTTCAATAAAACTGATTTCTAGAGTAGGTTGTCAATTTATTATTATTGACAATATTATTGTAAGAACCAAAAAGCACATACCCACAGTACGAATTAACATAACACGTGGCTCGATATTCGTCGTCGACATGCAAGTTAGTGATAGTATAATAACTGTACGTGTCTTTGTGATGTTGAAATTTAAAGTAATAACCTTTCTGTTCGTTTCGAGCGGATGTTTCTTGTTGATTGCAGATTTTTTATTAAGATGATTTAATTATGAATACAAGATTTAATAAAAGATCATAGTTTTTCTAAAATTCTTAATTTCGAAAGGACAATTTATTTGCACATAATACTTTGCACAAACGTTAGGTAAGATCATTTCTAGCCAGAAGCCGTTATTTTATACGAAAACCGTCTATATTTGATACATATCAAGTATATAGATAATAAACAAATTTTTATTATTATTATCGTTTTTATGACCTTTGTTGCTGATTAATAAACCCTATTCATTCATTCACCACACATAATATAAAAACATTATTGATACTTAATATAGTTTTGTTGCTGTAAGTTCAACTAACAACAAAGAATAACAAAATTAACTTAAGTTGTTATTGATTTCAGAACTTCTTAAAGCTGTAGCTAAGCCTGTAGTTATGGCATAAGTATTTTATTTATAAAAACTATTCCACGGTAATTTTATGGTATACCGTAGCTAAATGCCACTTTTAATAATGAGGAAAAAAAGCACCTCCGCTAGATGGCTAGTGGAGGTGATTTTTTTCCTGGTATGATAGATGGAAAAATAATATACTTTTAAACTTGAAAGAAAACCGGAAAGGTTATCATGGAGAAATCAAGAACGTACCGTAATGACATCTAGTTTGATATCGGGAATTAAAGTTTTTTTTTTTAAATGCTCCCTCATTACACAGCATTAATCACATCTAAGTCTAGTGTTATATATATTTTCCATTTTATTGAAAACTGCTTTTTTAGTGATCAACACATTTTTGGAAATTTTAATAAATTAACTATAAACTTATTTATGCATCCATTTAGTACAGCAATGCCGATGAGTCACTTCTTTCAACTAGATTAAGAAATTATAAAACGCATGCATATTTTGAAACAAAAGGAAAAAATAATATATTAGAAGTTAATCTGGTACAGTCTAGGTAACTTTGTAGACATCTTAACAACGATGTCCTTTATTGACAATTGGCTGTATAGATGAAAGTCCTTTGCCTACCCTGAAAAGGGGAAAAATAAAAAAATTGATAGATTGAATTGTCAATGTCAGCTGTTTTCTGCATTTATCCGTCAAGTTTGGCATTTTTTTTGAAGTTCGATCTCTTTGGGAATGCGGTTCAAGGTTTGATTGTAAAAATGTTGACTTTTATAAAAAGATGCAAAAAATTACACCACGTCAGAATAACGTGAATCACATACACCCACTCGTCACGTCGTTAATCGGCTTTGAAACGTCTATGAGTGACTGTAGTGAATCTATTTAATTTGACTTAAAAAAAAAGCAGTTTTCCGCCAGTTGTGAGAAAGTGCGCGCGTGTTTTGAATAATATCTGTGATGGCTTCACTAGCCGTGTTTGATTTCGATCGTACTATAGTCGACGCAGATTCTGACGCAACTATAATAAATAAACTACGTGAAAAACAACCTCCGCCCGAATGGGAAAATTCTACTAATGACTGGACTCCATACATGAGTAACGTAAGTAATATGTAGTTGAAAAATAGTCATAAATTACTTTCGATTAAGTCTGGGCATATTTTTAAATTGCTAAACAAAGTATTGAGGGAGGTGGAATTGTTGGGTGAATAATAATTTACTAAATATGATATTTTTAATTTAATTTTATATTATAATTTATATAATAATCTAGAATTTTATAATAGACAGTCACAGTCTACTGTGAATATTCATGTAGATAAAAAATCAGCATCATCAGCCCTATCACATCTTCACTGCGGGGGCTCAAGCCTTCCTTATGGATGGTCAGGAGGATGGGCCATCACCCTCCACACTGGCCCAGTGCGGATTGGTGGGTATTAACGACTGCAAATGCAGCCAGGACCAACGTCTTAACATGTCTTTTGAAGCATGGAACAATAAATATTCAGGTATTATTATAACATACTACAGGTGAAAGAGATAAGAGCACCAAGGTGGAGGCCTTGGCAAAATAAGCAACTACCTAGGGTGCTCGTATTTGGGGGGCAGCATGGCATAGCAAGCAGAGTATGTCTGCGCCAATCATTTGACCCTTACAACAATGGACATGAATCTATGTCTGCGTTATCTTAATTTATAAAGTGTTTAGACCAGCAGTACTTACAGAGTGTCTTCTGTCATTGGCAAAATTATACTCTTTAATTGGTACTGACATTAGTCTTTCAGTTTTTTTATTAATGACAAGATTGGTTGTATAATGTATAGTACAGTTAGGAACATCTTAATTATGGATAACCCATTTTATTTTCCACTGATAAATCTCTGCTCCCACTTTTGGATGGAACATGGGTGTTCACTATCAATACAAATACATAGAACCAATTCTCACTGTGGTGGTCCATGAAAATTGCTGAATGTAAGTGACTGCAACTACAGGTAGAACCAGCAGTATTAAATCCTTTTAAAAACACAGAAGAATTTGAAATAATGAATTTTTGGGGTCCCTCATCTTAAGAGGGGCCTTTATAAAATATGTCACTGTACAAAGAGGATGAAAGAGTTGACACAGTAAGACATTGTGTGACATGGGTGATATCCAATCCCAAATTTTCTGATGACATGAAACTACTTCAAACCAGACCTTTGAATAGATGTTAAAATTATAATAAAAGAAAGAGTTATGTTATATTATATGGCGGGCTTTTCCTCAATTCGAAACTCAGTGCCTGCCTTGTCATCCCAGCTCCTCCAGGAAGTTCATAAGTCCTTTAACTTTGCTGCATACCTCCTTTAATGTTTGTGGACTGCCTAGATGTGTAGTCTTATGTCTTGAAACACCACTGCATTCCAGTAGCACGTAAGTGCGACTCTGCACCATCCAGGCATGTTCTTCACAGAGAACTGTCAGATACCCATGTTATAAAAGTGGTTGTTGAAATAGCTATGTACAGTAAGTATTACTGCTATTTGTGTAGGTTATTTGTTTATCTTGCGTGCTACTCGCAGGTCTACCTCAGTGATTGCTTCTTTGGCTTGCCTGCTGTCAGTCGTTTGTGTCCAGTATTCGTCGTGCCGACGATAACAGCGTTCTCTTACCCAGTTTCTCAGCAATCGAAATGGAATGGTTGTTCTAATGGTGGGTTGTTCAATGAAATCCTTTTACAATTCTTCTAACTCTCGATTTTTAAATAATATACTTCAAATCACTTACAACTTAATTCTAAGACACTGACTCTATGCGTCTCGATTAGAAAGAAAGATTATTAATCAGCAAAAAAAAAGTAATAATTCAAAATATTAACGGCCAGCATTGACCATAAATCGTCCGGAGAGTAAACCTACCTATAGTAATGTGCACGGACGTTACAGTATAATGGGTTCTGGTCCGATGGGCTTCCTGCTCGACCCTTTTCTGGCCAAGCAATCTGCTGCGTCATTACCCCGCGACCCACTCAGCTTCTTGATCCATTGTAAATGCAGCAGTTTATTTCTCTTACATATCTCTCTCAATTCACAATGTATATTCGTGTACGTAATAGACCTGATGTCATCAAGTTGCAGTTTAATGCCTGTGGTACCGATGCACAGTCAGAGAGAATACGGAAAAGAAAGGGTTTAGTAGTTTTTATTTAGCTAGACATACAGACGCAAGAGGAGATACTTTGCTTAATTACCTCAAACTCACTTCACATTACGAGGAGTTCGAGTAAGCAATAATTAGCGCGATTGGTAAAAAAACTATTTTTAATAATCACTCGCAAACCATTCTAACTACATATTGTAAAAGTATCTCATCTCCTGACCAGTTCTCCTCTGAGCAGTGGCGGAGTAACTCCATCAGACCACGAGCTCTTACAGCAATGCTTAATCCATGCAGCGAGCGGAACACCGCTATTGTTCATTATAGCGCTGTCCCGCTCGCTGCACGTATAAAACATTGCTATAAGAGGTGATGAATGATGATGAATTCGAAAAAAAAAGTAACAATTCAAAATATTAACGGCCAACACTAACCACAAATCGTCCAGAGAGTAAACCAACCTATAGTAATGTGCACGGACGTTACAGTTAAATGGGTTCTGGTACGATAGGCTTCCTGCTCGACCCTTTTCTGGCCAAGCAGTCTGCTGCGTCATTACCCACTCAGCCTCTTGATCCACTGTAAATTCAGCAGTTTATTTCTCTTACATAGCTGTGTCAATTTACAATGTATATTCGTGTAGGTATTAGACCTGATGTCATCAAGTTGCAGTTTAATGCCTGTGGTACCGATGCACAGTCAGACAGAATACGGAAAAGAAAGGGTTTAGTAGTTTTTATTTAGCTAGACATACAGATGCGAGTGGAGGTACTTTGCTTAATTACCTCAAACTCACTTCACCTTACGAGGAGTTCGAGGACGCAATAATAACCGCGTTTGGTATTAAAACTGTTTTTAATAATCACTCGCAAACCATTATAACTACATATTGTAAAAGTATCGCATCTCCTGACCAGTTCTCCTCTGATCAGTGGCGGAGTAACTCCATCAGAGGCCCTTGGGCCTAACCACGAGCTCTTACAGCAATGCTTAATCCATGCAGCGAGCGGAACACCGCTATTGTTCCTTATAGCGCTGTCCCGCTCGCTGCATGTATAAAACATTGCTATAAGAGGTGACGATAAACCCTCTGGGCGGCCTCAGTCCTGGACCTACAACTAAACAACTTGTAAATAACATTTGAACAGAAATAGATATTGCCAATCCTAAGATAAATATGGGCAGAGATTAGATATAGTTAGGTACGCCGATGCTAGGAGTTTATCCAGCAAATCCTTACATTCAACAGCTTATATTTTGTACACACAAGCGAATCCAACCAACTTTGTGAGTTTGAGATTTAACTCTATATCTTTAAATATTATTTCTCTTTAAAATCAGCTAGTTAACAATATCGAAAATAAGAATCAAAGCTTCTTCTAATTAAAATCATATCTTTCTGAATGAATTTATTAATGAAAGATATATAAAATTAAACTTTTGTGATACACGAGATTGAGTACTGCAGGGGACTGGTTCTGAAATGAATTTTGTAACAATGGCGACAATTCGCCGATGATAACGCGATCCTAGCAAGTAATAGCGATCCAGTCGTAGCATTTAAATGTTACAGAAGAGAGACAAAACTGATTGAGAAAAGGTAGCACAAGCACGGTAAAGAGTACTAGCAGATCTTAACATTTAAATCGTCACTTGAGTAAACCCTATCATAGACCAAGAGGCAAGAGCTCAATATCGGATACGAAAAACTTCACTGGTCGTAACAGCAAATTGTGTGAAGACAGTAAATCTTTACGTTTATGATGTTATCGCTACATTATCTACTTAATGCTTGAAAGTTTTATTGCCGACGCTTGTACTGTAGTCATCAGAAAGCTTCGAATGCAGGGGCATGGCAATGTAGACATTTGACCCTATCGATAAGCTGTTGCTATCGCATTAGCTATGGCTTTGATATAGGTGTAAGTTAGCTGTTGCTCGCTACTTGTATCAATATACATTTGAAGCTACAAACCTTACATTTCACAGGCAAGGCCACTAATGCTTATGGAATGCTTTCAATGCTAAAATAACGTTAGTTCTGGGAAGACGACACTTTCATACATTTTAGAGATTATTGAAGCCAAGCTTGTGATTTGGCGATGGTCCAGAAAACAGCGGCGAGGTCGCGGTGCTCTTGGCATTGTGTATACGGCGTGAGATATGAGATGTAGCGTAAAGTTATTAGACTGATTTTGAAATATACATTAAGGTAAACAGAAAACGAGACAAATGATGACGTATGGCACGTAACATCAATAATTATAAAACACTAGCTTTCCGCCAGCGGATTCGCCCGCGTGGTCTTGTATTATACATAAAAAACTTCCTTTGAATCACTCTATCTATTAAAAAAAACCACATCAAAATCCGTTGCGTAGGTTTCAAGATTTAAATGATATTTGCTCGCTTTTCGTATTGCAAATGACACGACGTATCATGAATGTTTAATTTTCTCGTCAATCGATAGTATTTAAGTATAAAGTTGTCGTCAAAATCATAGTCAGATTCAACCTTGTACACTCAACGAATGATTCACTGATCTTGGTTGTGTCAGATTTGAATCACCCTTTATATAATCATAATTTTGTTTAAACGTAACATATTTGAAAAAGTCTGGATTTTTCTATATATACAGGTAAATAATACAAATATCTCAGATCCCGTCTACTTGCTAAAGCCATCTGAAATCGGCATGCAAGCCCCTCAGTTAGTTACATTGGAATATATCTAGAATTCCTAGAATAATGTGTAAGTATACAAAATCGCTTGCATCTTATGCATTAATTACTCATACAGTAGCGTGCCATCCTCGATCGTGCTTTTGACTGATAAACGATCGCAGGTATATTTCTGGATACCTACATCATCCATACCAGGTTAATTGTTTTATCGGTAATTAAATTTTGAGCGCGTGCCGAATTCTTGGACATCTTATTCTAATCAATGTGATTTTTCCACATTCATAATTAAGTGCAGTGGTTAGATCTTTTCAACCATTAGGGACCACCTGGAAAAATTTCTGTCGTGTGTGTGGTCCATACCACTTGGTTTAATATGCAGTACCTAAATATAGATAAATAAAAGGTTATTATTTATTACATGTATCTTTAAATAACATCTCCGCTGCTTGATGAGTCCAGGGACCACCAGTTGTCTGCGGACCGTTAGTTACACTGATCTAAAACTTTCAAATAAACACTCATGTCATTTGTATGCTCGTTAGGTGTTCGAGCACGCGTACTCGGCCGGCATGCACCCAGACGACATCCTGGACAGCATAGCGTCGATGCAGCCCACGCCGGGGATGACCCGCCTACTGGAGACCCTCGCCTCTGCCGGCTGGGACATATTGCTGATAACGGACGCCAATACTGTGTTCGTCAACCATTGGCTGAAGACACATGGCTTGGCGGTTAGTGTCATCATCAGCATATAATATACCCATCACTAGGCAATAGCCTGTACCTGTGGAAGAAATTGAATCGAATAGGGTAGTTTATGGACACTCAATTAAATATGTATATTTTGGTGATTTATTATAGCAGTATTGGAAGCCAAGTCTCACTTTGAGGCGACGTACAAAAGTGCTTTCTTTCTAACCCGGAGACGCCTCCCTATTCTAACAATAATACGTCTATGTTTTGGAAACGTCCTCATATGTGACTGAACTTACGTATGATGCTTGATGCGACCTCCGCATCGTGCATCATATCAATTTAGCACTCCGTGGGGATTCAATTATCATAGCATTGTCTTCACGCCATTAACACATGATAACGCGCGTGACGGACCATGGGAAATCGAGCGACACGTCAAAGTTCACATATTACAATTTAAAATCGACCTTATTATATGTACATAAAGGTCATAATTACGGAAAGAAAGCAAAAACAACTGTCAATGAAGGAAGTCCCGACTGCCCGTACATGTACAAAATAACAAAAAGAAGTTGTCTTTGGGGATCGAACTGGGACGCTGAAGGCTTAGTTGTGAATTTACATTACCTATATTATATTACTTTACTTTTTATCCCATACCTGTTGAACAGAACTTTGTATTATCAAAATATTTTTTTAGAGACAAAACAGTATTTTAATCCTTGTTGAGGATCATCCACAAATTCTTGTTAAGCGAAAGGAGGGGATCAACAAAGTGTGACATTGTGTGACAAAGGGGAGATACCCTACATTTGATGAGGTTTTTTTTTTTAGTATTACAATCGAAGTAATAATTCTAATTTTAGAAGTGCTGTTTCAAATTTGTAACATTACACTATAAGAGGAGAAGCTCACATATGTGACCATCTGAGAATTGGACGGAGAGAGGGTTAAATTATATGTGCCGTATTGTATGGGACGTATTTTTCAAGGGGCCCTTGAAAAATACGTCCCATACTTGACAAAATCCCAAATACAAAAGCGGGAAGATAATCAATAACTTAAATAAATCATCTTCATCAGTTTTATGTTTTCCATTGTGAGTTTTCAATTAGGTTTAAATTAAATTAGTATATTTTATATACGAGTACATACAACGGCATATCAGGTTTCTTACAAAAAACACTATTAATTTACGTGATTTTGAACTTAAATCTCAGATTAAGATTCAAAACGATCAAAGAAAGACTGCACGGAATATCATAAAATGAAATGAATGAAATGTCTGTTCGCAGTTGAACGTGTTTTTGGCATCATTGTTTGGTAGATAAATCGTGAAAATGGGCTACGGAGTTTGCACCGCACGACACAGTTAATTTGGTTTGAAAATTGGGACGTCCCAACAAATACAAGACGTTTGACAGTAATTAATTCACTAACGATCAGTTGCACAAACGTCCATTACGGTTTAATGACTCCTTTAAGCGCTAATTAATGTCAAATTGGTATGGGTGATGTCGCTTTAAACTAACGTCAATTTTAATGGACGTTTGAACACTGGCAGTATCTGTCTCAAATTAAAGACTTTATTATTTTATTTCCTGTCATGTCAAACAAAAGAATGATTTGTTTTTTTTTCAGGATGTTGTAACATCTGTGATCACGAACCGTGCGTTCTGGGAGCGCGGTCGTCTGTTCATCGAGCCGTGCATGCGGCAAGTGGCGTGCAATCGCTGTCCCACTAACCTGTGCAAGTCACTCGCACTAGCGCAGTACTGCGCCGCCCGGGACCCGTACGCGCGCGTAATTTACGCCGGTGACGGCAGGAACGACTACTGTCCATCGACAAATCTACCTGCACACGTGAGTGTACTGGATGTCTATACAAAAAAATCGTATACGTATCTAATATTTTTCTATTATCTGACTGACGGACTAAATAGAATTGCATTTTTTTACCCAGTCATCATCCCTATTGTAATTAATAATGAGTGTTTTTAAATGGTTTAATCATAAATTTAATTTATATTTGTTTGCTATAATTAATTTCGTTATATATTAAACAGCGACATCTCATAAAAGTCAATATTTAAGAACTTCTACATAAAATTTGTACAAGCTAGAAAATACTAAATATCGTGTTTTTTTTAACCCTAACCATTAAATGAAAAATGCTTAAAAGTACTTACTTATTTCAGGCGATAGTATTCCCCCGTCGCGGTTATCCATTAGATGATCTGATCAAGAAGACTCTCTCCACCGCCAACCCTCAGGTGAAAGCTAAGGTGGTCCCCTGGGAGACCTGCGACACAGTACTCCAGGAAATATTCCCCGAATCTATATCAACGCATTGATGCATAGCTAGCGCAATATTTAGATTAATTTTATATTTATTTTATACACCTTATATGATACACTGACAAATTATTTACTATAAATATGTTTTGATCAAAATAATATATTTAATTATTATTTTTGCGTTTAAAGTACTAATCTGTAATGTACCTACTGATGTTATTGAAAATTACTTGAAAGGTTTAGATAGATAATTTGATCTCTGATGGAAATACACCCACTAGTAGCGAAAATAAGAAGTCCTTGAAGAATTCAGCAGTTCCGTTGGGTATCGGTTAGATCAGTCGCCCGGATAAGAAGGCAAGTAAATAAAAAAACATGAGAAATTAATAAGAAAAAAAAATTAGATGTATGAAAACCTGGAATCGGAAAGTTTTTTTTTTAAATGTGATACAGACGTCCTTATTCGGATAGATCGGATAGACGATGTGTAAGTATAAATTGTAATAGAACAAATTGCGTCCTTTTGATGAATCTAAGTATTAAGTCGTCCGATGATGAACGAGAGATGATGTGTGAATGCAACGAGTGATGTTTTTGTTTCGCGGCGTCGTCCACTTTGCCGTTTGCGGTTCGATCGACGTCTCTTCATGGAGAGTTCCTTGTTGTTACTACGCCCAACGTAGTCATATCTCGATGCGAATTAAAACTGTGTTTTCTTTCAAACCTGAGCCGGACGGTAGCGCATAGTGCGTAGGTACCCTAATGCCTGTTTCCACTAAACTTGGGAGTCGCTCAAATCTGTCGCCTAAATATTTAGGAATCGCCTAAGGGTAAAATGAATTTCACCATTGACTAGGAACTACCTAACGTAATTAAGTAATGTCTTAAGTTATGATATTCGTTATATGACAGATCATAAATATGTCAAAGGTTAAAAGAAAATAATATTTATTTGAAATTAAACTAATTTGCTTAGGCAATTTCTAATATTAGGCGCTTCCCAGTTAAGATATGTCTTGTTCTAGGTTAGTGAAAACAGGCATAACTCTCACTACTAGTTCTTATGGAAGCTCAAATTTCGTGATAAACTTAACACCATTAAGTCGCACCATTAACTCAGCTGTGAACTTCCAATATTTTTAATGACGTTATGAAATGTATTATAATGACCTTTAGGCCCTACGTACTTAATGTAATAAATGGCATGTCTCTTTAATTGTTATATTACATAAACACAAAGTCGTTTATTGTTTAAATTTTATTTGATTATTTAAAGTGATTAAATGATTACCTCGTTTTGAAGCGAATTTAATTTCAACTTTACAAAAAAAAATGTGTTGGTCACAGGCTGGCAGTCCCGCCTTCTCTGATTTCCATCTAGTCCCTTATTTATCAACCCGTTTCGAAATAGAAACAAATAGCCAGATAACGTAGTTTCGGAGATAAACGAGTCTTTGTGGCGCTGCTGGACTGACATCAGTACACTGTATCTTCTATACAATAGCACTTTTAGAACTTAATAACTCATTTCATTTTAGCATTAGTTTATCAAATATTGATTTTTTTTTTAATATACAGCGAGTATTCATCACTAGGATACCGTGAAGTGGAAAGAATGAGGAAGAATTTTAAATCATATATTTGCCGTACCATTAAAATGTGGAACAGTCTCCCATCCCACATTTTTCCCATTAAATATAACCTTGGGTGCTTCAAAAGAGGTGTGAAAAGGCTCTTAAATAGGCCGGCAAGATAGTGGTGGCTACCAGGAGTAGTTTCGACTTCTGACAGTTGCGACTATTATTAGACTGTAATATCACTTCCCACCAGGTGTATTACAGTCACTTTGTGGTGCAACAATAAATAAATAAATAAATAAATAAATAGTTTATTTCCTTAAATTGCATACATATAACAGTAATGTGGCCAGAATCACCCAGGAAGTGCCTAAAAAGCGCTTGTGTCGGGTGGTTCTGCTCCTCCTTAGGAACTTAATAACAAAATAAGGTTTGCTTAGGTTGCTAGACTATTAAACTATTTTATAAAGGTATATTAGAAAATACTAAAAGTGAGAAGTTATATAAAACAATGCAGTGTCTAAAAAATCTCTCAATCTATACCAATCTAGCCCTACGATATCATATATCTTGGGATCGGATAACCACTAGATCTGTAAGTGTATGTGTGTGTGTGTGTGTGTGTGTGTGTGTGTGTGTGTGTGTGTGTGTGTGTGTGTGTGTGTGTGTGTGAGCGCGCGCGTATGCGTGTGTGTGTATGTGTGCTATTACAAACGTCCGGAGCTTTTTCAAATTTTTGTACGTTTTTGCTGTAAATGCGTATATATGCGATACATATGTTTTATGCTATCCAGCCCTACGATGCGAGATCTTGGGATCAGTAAGTAATGAATACCACTGGAAGTCATGTATTTTAATTAATTAATTATTGTTTTGTTAACAATAAAAAAATAAAAAAAATAAAATTAGAATACCGAAATTTGCAAAGTTCGAAACTTAGATATAAATATAAATATGAAAAAGTACAAATAGAATATGAGTTGTTTATTGAGTTTTGAAAACTAATTTACCTTTATAAATGAAAAAAAAGCAGAAAGATTGTCCGTCATGCGACATCTAGTTTGATTTTTGGAACTATTTTTTAAATACTTTCTCATTACGCAAATGATCTCGTAAGCGTTTTACCGCTCCGACTATGCTATCGAATGCTCGTCTCGCATTGTAACGAAATACTGTTATAACGTGATAAAACCTACAATCAAAATATTTATGGATCCAATCCAAATCAAACGATTGTATTTAGGTTAGGGGGTGAGACGCACCGTACAGCGACGTACAGTGGTCGGTAAACTACCATTTTGGTTCAGCTTCGCTCTGCACATATACTGAAGTAACTAACAGTAAGACAGAGGCACTAACTTGCTACCCTGGATTGAAAAAAAAACCTTGTGTATCCCGAGCATTATAACCTTGTGTATCTCAGTCAACAAACCATCTTCAATTTGCATCCAGTACGCACAAGAAACAGATAAAAATAAATAAAACCAAATTGTTATGTAATAATACTTTTGTAATATTTAAGTAGAAAATATGCACTTTTTATATTCTATATTTTATAATATTTATAATAATAACAACGCCTCTTGTCGGCGCTCAAACTTAACTATTACAATTATTCGATACAATATTTACAAAATTATGACGACAATATTAATTACCGTAAATGTGTATGTTTTAAAATATTACCTACTACCAAACAATATGGCTTTAAAAATACAAAAAACATACAAGAGATAACCATCGGCCATCAAGTTTTCTTCATAGTAATTATATTTTAAATTATCACATTTGTACTATATTAAATTAAACTTTGCCAAGTGACAATATAATAATTAGAGTTTTAATGTATAGGCACAGCAAACTGGTTTATATAAAGTTAAATTAAAAAAAAAAAAACTCTTTCCATTGTGGTAAGTTTGAGAAATGTATATATCTATTTAATTTCCATGTAATAATATGCCAAATTGTTCTCTAGCGAGGATATAAAATCAGTTACATATTATGTATAATATAAATGTTTACAACTGTGCCCTAAAGTGCCAAGAATAAAAAAAATTGAGACATTACAAAAAATATTATTGAAAGCATCACTTCTTTATAATTTACACAGCAGCAAATCAGGTGACTGCGAAAGGTTAAATCTCTTCAATAAATGTTGAACTTAACAGTCAACATATTAAAGCTTAAGATCTATTGGAGTTTAACCTTATGTAGTTACTTGATGTGTGGTAGACTGTACATACTTATTGTTATTATTTTATAAATATTTACATGCAGTTCCCTGAAACCAATTTCCTTTGTACAATTAATTTTATATATCTTTTAAGACATCTGCTACAAATACCATTAATGCATCTGCTACAAATTAATCATTTTCTAATATATACAGAGGAATCATTCAATAACATCCAAATCTAGGTTATTTATGGCATTGATTGTGTGTCACAATTTTGGTGCTTAACCCCTTGAGTGTCGTACGCACATACGTATGTTCGTAAAATAAAATGGTCTAAAGTGTCGGACGCACACCCTATGTGCATAAGCGGATTGATGTAATTGGTCGTTGATTTTTGTTCTTAGCTTAGTCCGAATCACGGTCCGACTTTACATTTCGTTTCTTTACTAATATTTAATACACTCGGAACAATTCTAGCTGGATTCGGACCGCCAAGCCAAACCAAAAATAATAAAAACAAATTGTCTGTCATTCATTGTCGAAGTGAAATTTAACGTTGTTATTGTGACTGTTTTGTGAGTGTTAGTGTGATGTTTTCGAGACGTAAACGGTGAGAATTTTTATAAATACCTACTGAGAAATGATTATAGTTTATTTGTAAAGTAAGAAAAGTTAAAAAAAAGCAAAAAATATGCTTGAAAAAGGGCTGTAACTTTTGAAGGGTGTTTATTTTCATCGTTTCGTCGACCATATTTTGTCATATATTACTGTGAAATATCCTTTTATTTCCTTTCAAATGATCATTAGTAGTCAGATTATTTATCTAGGAACATAACGTCACCAATCGTTACTCATTTTTCTGAGATATTTTGATAGAAACGAAGTTATTTATACTATAACTTCGTTTCAAACAAATTAGCTGTCAAATCCAACCGCCATTTTGGTGTATTACGTAATGAAGTACCACCAGCATAAAAATTGTTTGGATGTGTCCTACTATAATAGTATTAGAAATGCGAAAGTACGTTAGTATGGATGTATGTTTGTTATTCTTTTACGAAAAAAGATTTGGATGACATTTCATAATAATATAGGTTATACATCAGTATATTATTTATCCCATAAGCTGTAATTTATCCCGATTTTCGCAAGCGCACGGGCACTACGCGGGTGAAGCCGCGAGTTGCCACTAGTATTTTTAAAGTACACTCTTTATTATCAATTATAATAGATAAAAGAATTACTATATAAAAAGTAGTAAGAAACATATGAATACTCACAACCTTTTTTTAAACTGACGTTTTTTATTTCATAATAAATAAAAATAAATTGACATTATCTATCCAACACTGATGTTTGAAAGTGGACGTGAGTAGGTATATCTAAAGAGTCATATATAGAAATGCGATTCTTGAGAACAGTCTCTGTAGAACCATTGCATTGTTTATTTCAGATAAAACGTATAATATGAAAAAACATTATTTTCTTGTATTCATAAAATCCGTATTTTTTGTCAGTTTAGAACACAAGACAAAAGACTTTGATTATACTGCAAGCACGTGTATTTTGTTTGTAAAGAATCATAACAGACATTTTGTTTAGTTTTGCCTTTGCGAGCTTTTTTGTTGACCATTATACTGTGCCAGGTAAAGATACTATCTATTCAAATCGTTTACAGTATAGCTGGTCGTAAGAAATAGGTATTTAGTAATAAATAATGTCGTAAAAAAACAATGTTTTAGATAAGGCTATCATCTAGCATTCAACCGGGACCATTGTTCTATATGACAGGCATGTTAAAAAATAATAATAAAAAAATCATTATTATTAGTGAACAAAAACTAAAATACGTTCATAACAATATAATTTTGATTAGGATATTATTTATACTTATTAATGTCAACATCAACAAAATCGAAATTACTTCAAATATATTACATAATTTTGTTCATATTTTTTTTTTGCCAATGGTACCATTGCGATATCACGTGGTCCGACTGCACCAACGGTCAACCGGCCCGGCGGACAGTAAATGGCCGACATTACGAATTCCCGTGCTAACATAATGTAAATATTTGTTTTACGGTATCAGTTGATTGTTTAGAAACGAATAACTTATGAAATAGATGCGTGAATATATGTGTGATAATATGACAGTGTTTGTGTTAGTGTACATGTGAGGGAATCCGATATATCATCATTCGTTGTTGGAGTTAACAAGTCGAAAAATCATAATCGTCATTTGTTTTTCATCTTTACGCATAAACGTGAGTATTTCGAACTAAATAATATATTTTACACGTTCAGAAATTTTATGGCGAAGACAATGATGTGCGTATTATGTAATTATTATTGCAATAGAATGCCCTAATAACGGTTTTTGTGAGCCATAGTAGTCAAGGTAATAATTTTTTTGAAAATCACGACATGCTAGCCATATGTCCGGTAGAGAGAGAGAAACACTCAAGAGGTTAAGTGACTTTTGCCATAGACAATATAAACAATCAATTACCACTATTAAGGAGGTTGCATATGTAGATATTGATACAGATTGATTATGGAATTTCTAAAATGTCTTATTTCTTATTTTATTTCCGCACATATGTTAATAATACAGGTTTCTTAGAAAATAATTATAAAAGTGTTTATAATTTAGCTCATTTTATGGCTAGGAATTTAGATGAATTATTGAAAGTACTGTTTAAATAAAACCACAAGATTTATATTATAAAGAAGTAGTAGAATTCTATGAAAAATATAAAAAAAATGTCCTCAGATTATTTTCAGGTACATTTTTTGCTTCATCAAAAAGACTTATGTGAATGTGATGTTCTTTTATATCACAAAATTGTTGATACAGCAAACTTAGTGTTTTATATTCATTAAACAGGAGCAATTTAGTTAATATTGATTTGGAATGATAAATGCTTATGTAAATGTCATGAAAAACAAGAGTTCACAGGCTTTTCAATGCCCCTTTCTCTTATTAGCTTATTATTGACTGATAACTTCTAGTTATCCCAAACAAAGTTTACACAAAAACAATATTTCCATGTTTGTTTACAATCATAATTTCTTGTATCTATAATATAACATAGCATTTTTACAGCGATCACATTATATATTACTCGTAAGTAAACTTCTCTCTGTCTGTTCTTTGTAATAGAAGAAGGGTTAGTCAAGGAAGATACTCTTGTATTGGCATTTTCAAATATGTGTGTAATTTTTTATGTACTAGGTATATACTAGAGAAAATATGGAACTTTATGTGTCAGCATATTTATGATAGACAAATAGTCTCTTCCGGAGACACAGTATACATCTTTATCAGTTCACAACAGAATTAAATATTAATTAATTGCTAACTATAATTCATTGAGGGTATTCCAACTAAACCCAATTCTTCTATTATAAAGGATAACTGATATAAAACAAAGTGGTAAACTTACGTAACTATCTCTGAATGTTAGTTCCGGGCCCGTGTTGAGTGTCACTGTCACTGTTTCACTATATCACTGAACACTATATCACTGTATCAGCACTAGCGGGCAGGGCTAGCAGTGGTGGTCGTACAGGTCCGGCTCCAGGCGGCGCACCCTCACGCGCTGCCGGTAGTGGTACTCCTTGAGGAAGGCGCGCAGGCGCGGCGGCAGCGGCAACTGCTCCACACCTGCACAACGCACAACATTCGATTAGGACTACCAACAAGACACAAATCGTCTATAAGTAAATTATTCAGTGCTTTTAATATAAAATCAATGCTAAATTTTGCATTAATTATAGGTTGCCGCGGCATGCAAAAGTGGATATAAATAACAGAACACTTTCAGATTACATACACTTATTCGATGTCAAAAATACATATACTATTAAGTTAAACTTAAATTATAAAATTACTAACAATTAATTTTTAATCCATTAAGTGTAAAAAAGCAATTATAAATAAATTAATTTAAATTATAAAGTATGTACAAAATAATAACAACTAAACAAAATTAAAATGTCAAATTTTTCAGACTATTATTCATGACATATTCACCAACCGTGGAACCCAGTATGGATTGGTGGGCTAGTGAAGGGTTACTATGCCTCCTGAACTGCGGAGGATATCAAGATAGAAATTTTTCGGTAGCCTATCCTGTAAGTGAACCTTCCGAAAGGCCCTTCATCTTTATTTTATTTTTAAAAATGAGAAATATTCGTGGTGATGCCTCTTTGTGGTACAGAACATTAAAAATGTCAGTAACAATGTTGACATACCGTCATACGTGGTGTGGGACACTATGACGGCTCGCGCCAGTTGTTGCAGACTGAATGGAGCCGCTCGCGGCAACGGAGCTGTCAGCATCGGCTCGAAGAACATCACACAGGCCGGATCCTATAACACATCACATTTCAATGTATTATAATTTTTTATGTACACATGTTATATATTAATTGCAACAATTTTAAATCTGAACATGGGTATAATGTAGTTATTTGTTATTTAAAAGTTCTCTTTTATATATATATATTATTAAATATTATAAATGTATACATAAGTAATTATTATAGCTACATACTCAACATATAAAAATAAAATGCTAGAAATAATAATCAAATACATAATTATAATTAATAGAATCCTGTCTAGCATCAGCAAAAACATAACTGTTAAATTAAGACTTGACATTTATCTGAATCTTTTTATATTTTTGTAATATTTTTAGTGGTAGGATAAGCAAATTTTGCAGGATGGGTGACAAAAAAAAATGTTCTCTGTGCTTCGGAAGGCTTGTTAAGCTGCATTTGCAGGACATCAATACCGTCCAATGAACCATATCCCTTTACCTTGTAGTGGTCTATGAGTCCCGTGACCGTGGTGGCCGCGAACACGGCGGGGTCGTGCGAGTCGAAGCTGAACCGGTGCCGGTAGTGCTCGATGCGCGCGTGCAGCGACCGCCCGTACTTGCGGAACGACACGCTGAACAGGTGCTCCTCCTGGGCCGAGTCGCGCAGCAGGAACGTGCCTGGCCGTGTACACATATCATTATTTATATGGAACTCGTGTTAGTTACACCGCTTTAAGATATTTGTGTTTTTTGGATTTGGATTGGATCGTAGGATAAATACTAATAGAATAGGGATGATGACTAATTTTTGTTTGTTTGTCCGTCAGGTAGAGTGTTAAAAAATATTATACACGTATTTTTTTATTTTTTTCGTAATTATCAAATTAGGGCGTTACATTGAGTTGAAATTTCGCATGACGTCACGTTAGAGTACGTTTTCTACTCAACTGTGACGTAGCGAGCCCCCACTCCTCAACTTTAATGCCTGTTATCTAAGCTATTTCTTGTTAAATTGAAGTAAAAAAAATACGTATCTAATATTTTTCTATTATCTGACTGACGGACTAAATAAAATTGCATTTTTTTTACCCAGTCATCATCCCTATTATAAAAAAAAATAAATAGTTTTGTATTGATTTTAAAACCCTAAGTCTACTCATTCACCGACTGTTGGGCGAAACAAAGTTGGCCGGGTCCGCTAGTATATCGCTCACTGAAGTACAGTGGCACAACTCAAAAACCATAATTTCGAGAAACGCTCTCCTAAGTTATGAAAATCTAATATACTTATAATTATGAAAACCAAATTTTTTAGTATAACTGTTAAATCGTTTGTAATATATTATTACTGTTAAGTGTTTTATTTTTTCTTTAAATTATCTATGGGATGCCACCACAATGTTGTGGCGTTTACTCGAAATAATGGTTTTTGGGTTGTGCCACTGTACTATTCAGTGAGCGATATACACACACGACACATGATAATATTACGCACATATATAGTGGAACAATATGAGACAGGAAAATCTTTTTTTTTATATTGCATTATTCATTAGCTTATAAACAGGCTAGTCAATTACTTCTAATTATTATTTTGATCTGAGTAGCTCGGTGGCGTAGTGGATAAGCACCGCGGCCCGCGATCGTTGTCGTTAAGCAACTCTCGCAAGGATTGGTCACGGGATGGGTGACCAAAAAATTATTGTCTCGCGCTACTCTGTGCTTCGGAAGGCACGTTAAGCCGTTGGTCCCGGCTGCATTTGCAGTCGTTAATACCCTCCAATCCGCATTGGGCCAGCGTGGAGGGTCATGGCCCATCCTCCTTAACCATCCATAAGGAAGGCCTGAGCCCCTGCAGTGGGGACGTAAAAGGGCTGATGATATTTGATCTATTTAAATTAAGTTTTTTTTTAAAGCACATAAAAATAAATGGAATTATCTAAATATGTAATACTTATTGTTTATTCTTGGGTAACATGTTCCATATTAACGATATTAAAAAAAAAATATTGTACCGATGAGTTAAGCTCCCACTGTATATGTGTACAACGGACAATACCTTCAGGTTTGTTGTCGAGCAACCTCTCCGCCTCGTATCGGTCCATCTTGCCCCAGTAGAAGGAACAAGCGGTGATCTGCTGCAGATCAGGCACCAGGCAATGTATGTAGTCCACCTGTACATATCACATACATAATATAAAACAAAGTTGCTTCCCGCTGTCTGTATACTGAGATCTTTTCAACATTAAGGATTTTAATGCAGTTTTATTATAGTGAATTATTTAATTTTTATTTTATAATTTATTTATGCAATAAAAAATACGAGGTAAAATACATTTTTGATATTTTAATTGGATAATTTTGTATAGTGTATATTATATTTCAAAGGTAATGTTTACCAAAAATAAAAAAATTATACTATATTTAACCGACCGTTAAAAAGAATGTTAATCAATTCAACTGAATTTTCAAGTCAGGTTTATATTGGAGCATAAATTGTGATATTATAATACAGACCTGTGTGTGTACTCTAGTGGGTGGGGCACGAGGAACGCCGGGCGCCCGCAGTAGTAAAGCTCTCAATTCCCCGCCGCACACCACCTGAACATTATACATAAAAAAGCAAATAAATATAAGACAATATCTCGAACATTACTCACATACCGAGTGACTTAATCACTTGTGTAATGGGAAACTGAAATAACGAAGGTACCGCAGCACCCAGTGACACAAGATTGTAAAGGATCATTTTCTACTTTGACTCAACTGGGAATCGAACCCGGGACCTCACAGGTGGCGGTATCTTGAAACAGTCGTGCGAGTTGAATCATACATGACACTAGACAATATTACAAATGACGATCAAAATTCACTCAATCGGCTCAACGTGCCTTCCGAAGCAAGGAGTAGGTCGAGATAATAGTAATAATAAAAGAATTGGTCACCCATCCCGTGACCGACCCTTGCGAAGGTTGCTTAACAACATCACGTGATTAATGGACGGCCCCTTAGCAGTTGTTATAAGTCTAACTACACAAAGGTATAACAGTACGTGTATCCAAAAACGTGGTACCTGAAAATGTGGCTGCAGCCGGATGGAGCCGTCGCTGGAGGCGGCCAACTCGCCGCCCGCCTCCGCCTCGCCCTCAGCGCTGTGACATACAGACAGACGGACGTACATATTATACAACTACATATATAACACACCAAATAAATAGATAATTACATCACATACATTGCTCTGATTCCAATCGTATTATGGAGTATCTGAGGCAACGGAGGTAACACAACACCCAGACCATTCTCTAAAGATCATTCTCTACGTTGACCCGACCGGGAATCGAACCCGAGACCTCAGAGATGGCGACACCTTGAAACCGGCGTGCGAACCACTCGGCTACGGGGGTCGTCAAAATACCTATAATAATGATTAAAAATCTATATCTATAATAATATTATATCACATCACCAGTCTATTAATATCTTCACTGCTGGGGCTAAGACCTTCCTTATGAATGATCGGATGAATCGGTGGGTATTAACGACTGCAGATGCAACCGGGACCAAGGACTTAACGTGCCTTGCGAAGCACGGAACGCGGGATAGTAGTTTTGGTCACCCATCTTATAACAGGCCATTTCGAAAGTTGCTTAGAATCATATCACAGACCGAGCGCGTTAACTAATGCACCATCAAGCTCCTCAATATATAATATTAATAATGTATGTATATAAATATATAAAATTCTTGCCTTAGTGAGACTGCTGAGCTTAGAAAGTTGAAATTTGGAATGAAGATTCCTTAGAGAGTGTAGAGGAGCACTAGGAGAGGATTTTTAAGAATTCCACCCCAAAGGGGCTAAATTAGGGGATGAATGTTTGTATGCATCGTCGTTATTACAAGTGCTACAAGTTTCAAATTTTGCATGCGATTTCTTTATTTGAAGAGGGTATTTTATGAAATTCAACCCCTAAGGGGATATATTAGGGGATTAAATTTTTTATGGAATTTTATCATTTCTGGACTGAAGTCGCGGGCAAAAGTTAGTAATGTATATATATAATGTTAATAACGTATGTATGTATGTATGTATATACACTCACGTTCTGGGCGCTACAGAGAGCACGTACACCTCGGCGGTGGGCTCGCCGCTATCCCGACTCATGTCACTGTCTACAAACAAACACAATATACACACACATTATATATTAATACGGATGACCGACTAATATTTTTTTGTCTGTTTGTCCGTCAGATAGGTACTATTGAAGTTTAAGAATATTAAACACGTTTTTGTTTTTTGCATAATCGGTAAATTACGGCGAACCATTGAGTTGAGATGTCGTGTGACGTCACACTTCTGTATATTTCCTACAAATGTGTGACTTTTGCAGAAAACATACTAAACAATTTCTCGTTTAAATTTAAGCAAAAAAAATACGTACCTATCTAATATTTTTCCATTATCTAAATGAAGAAACTAAATATATATATATTTTTTTACCCAGTCTTCACATCGCTATTACACATACTAATATTATAAAGGCGCAAATTCGTTTGTTACTCATTGACGCAAAAACTACTGATCAAATCTTAACAAAATTTGGTATATGGATAATTCAAAACTTGATCTTTTATCCCATTAAACGGTTCCCGAGGAATATCTAATAATCGTGTGACCAACGCGAGCGAAGCGTTTGGCAGGAACCTAGTAAATATTAAATATATAGCTAGTATATACAAGACAACAGCATACACATTGCTCAGACCCTAATTAAGTAGCTAAAGCTGTATTATGGGAAAAAATAAATCTGAAACGACGTAGGTACCACAACACCCAGACTCGACTCGACAATATAGAAAAGTTCACTTTCTACATCGAATAGAACATGACAGATGTCAATCAAATAGTTACTTGTTGTCAATCAACGTTACTTGTTAACTATTATGGTAAAGTTTCTTTGTAAAGCACTCTGCTACAAACCAACCCAAACGTTTGTCAGTTTATTAAAGGAGATTACGACAAGAAATATAATGAATATAAAGGTAACTCTGTGACTATCTGTGTTTTCTATCAATACAATATAATGCATCTTTTGAATGCGACAAAACCCTTAGAATGTAACGCTATTTTTTAGTTTTTTTTTTATTTCAGCTCATTAGGATTTTTTTTTTATATATAAAACCATACTGATTTAGTAAGTTTTGGTTTAAGTGCCCTAATAAGAATATAATTCCTACAATTTTTATTTAACTCTCCAGTAAAGGTTTACTCCCCAGACGATTTATGATAAATGGTGGCCGCTAATATTTTGAATTATTACTTTTTCCTTGTTTGAATTTTCATGCTAGTATTTTGCTGGTGGATAATCTTTTCTGATCGAGACCGGCATAGAATCCCAACATGTGCTACACAGATGGTGAACTACTGTTGATCTATCTGTTTGATTACTAAAGTTTTGGTACAAATAGAAAATAATAGTAAAAAAAAAGGTAAAATAATCCTTATTCACATAGACTTCTTAAAAGTACTTTTGAATCGTCCAACATTTTTTTTCCCTACCACTCGTTCAGGACGTCTTTTGGCTGATAAGAAGAACGAGCAATAAACTCACTAGCTCTAATAGGAGTAATGACATTAACAAAAACCATGTCATTACCAGATTAATACATTATAAATGAACAGAGAGAGAAAAAAAAACTATAGTCTTATAATGATAACATAATCATTTAATAATAATGGAAACAAGATAATGAGTTTAGAAGTAATCACCTATCCAGTTGTTGGATCATCTCAAGTCCAAGCGTTCTTATCTGTTACATAATCGGATACCTTAGAATAAGCTTTTTTAATACGTATTATTTTAATAGCAGATTTTAACTGCATGATATCTGTTCCCATACCTGCGTTGATGACTATGGCGTCCAGTTCCCTCCGTAGATCTCTCGCCCCCAGCGTTAGCACCGCTGCTAATCTGTACATAAACAACAGAACATCACCAATTATTTTTACCATTACACACGTACAATGACTATTAAAAAAAAATAGTTCTCGAAATCAAACTAGATGTCGCCACGGTACTTTCTTGATTTCTTCCGGTTTTCTTTCATGTATAAAAGTATATTAATTTTCAGAACTCAATAGATAATTTTCAGAACTTTGCAAATTTCAGTTTTTTAATATGTTAGTTAAAACGAACGGAAATGACTATCTTTGGTCCATTTGTTTCCTGCAAAAATCAACTTTTGCTAGAGTCGCACTCTAGTGAGTTTCTTTTAGTGCTTTCTTTTTTTAAATACCTATTTCCTGATTAAATGACTCATTAAAGATGCATTTTTTTTTTCGAGGTATAGAAGCCCTTAGAATATATATGAATTATGTGTGTGGGTATTTTTAAATATGTTAGTGCCATATATATTTTTTGTAAATATTAGCAGAAACATGACACGAAAATATAAAACAAAGGAAGGAGTGCGAGCTCGAGTATGTTCTTGGACTACAGAAAACCTAGAGTCAGCTTTCGAAAAAAACATGGCTGTTTCGTCACCATTCATTATTCATAAGTACATGAATTAAATTGTCAAAAAATAGGAACTTTAGTGTTTTTAATTTAAATAACTTTCTATCGATGTTTCTGTGTGGGTGAATTATACAGGAACAAATCGCAGCCATTTTTATGAGCTGTCATGCACTCTGAGCCCGCGAGTTTTTATTTTACAAACTTGAGGGTAGTCGAACGCCATCTACAAAACGCGTAACATCGTATACTCATCTGGACGACTAAAATAAAATTTTTCGAAAAATACTGGACAAAAAGGAACCGGCCGGTGTCCGATCGAGGTGGAACTCGTCATCGATCTTCTCAAGGTACGTGGGTGCATTATAATTTGTTTCTACGTATCTTTCAACCGTATCAGAACATCGATTCCCATAGGCAGACCTATCCAGGTCTGATCCAGTTGTAGTAGAAAGCCACCAATCGTTTTTTTATTTTGTGTAAGGTGCGGCTGCTACAATGGCAGTAACGACATATAGTGCACTTACCTGTCCTGCTGGCAGTCCGTGACGCGCCTGTAGGCGGTGCACACACAGGCCGCGCGCCGCCGCCGCCGGCACGCGCACTCGCGGCCGCTCCATCTGTGCCATGCCTTACATTAACACCACTAAATACTACCATCTGAGCCGCTGTGAGGATTTATGGAAGTTATAATACCGTCGAATGTGCTACACAGTTTAATGATTACGTAGAAATTTCCACTGTCCAATGATAATATCGGTATCTATCTATCTGTCAGTTGCACAAACATCCATTAAGGTTTAATGACGCCTTTAAAATCTAATGAATGTCAAATTTGTATCGGTAATGTCGCTTTAAACTAATGACAAATTTAATTGTCGTTTGTGCAGCTGGCTGTATATCATCACACCAGAACCTTTGTGGATTAACCAGAGAGAATCATACACAAGGAACGGTCATTGTATACGTATTTTGCTTCCTAGAGGCGACCTTTTTAACATCAGCGATATTGACAGTTCACAAATAACGTAACGTAATAATATAATTGAATGGCGTCCATCTTGTTCGCTAGTTTTCGGCGTTCCAAACATGAAGCGATAAAAAATATTTTTTAAATTGAAATCGTTTAACGTGGATTAATTAAATCGATGTATTGAGTTTCTGAAGTTAATTACTATGGAAAATATTAATTCATTACTGCAATATTGATATCGGTAAGTATAAACGACCAGTGACCAAACTTTGCCGACTGGACGTTAGACCACCGACTTCAACTTCCGCCTAGACAAGACTGGACTTTGACTGGATTGACGGTCGAGTCACAGGATCTGACGACTGACTAAATCTGACAGCTAACAAGACCTGACTTGACACCACTCCCCTCCCTGACTAAGTATTGTCTCACAATACTGGGGGTGGGAATGTTATAAACTTTTTGCTTGCAGACGGGCTGGTCTTGTGAAAGACAACGAATAGGCAAGGATGAGACTGACAAGAGATGACAGTTGGACTTAATATCAATAACGTCTTAAAAATATATATATTATTTTCTTTATTTAGTGTTCTTTTTTTGTTACAAAGTGGTCCTTCGAATATTCGTGAATCAGACCTATGGAAAAATGTTGACAAGGAGCAAGAGTGCCCAGATGGTTGACAAAATCACGGACATACCAAAAAAAGTACCATCAGTGGCACCATCAGAGACATCGATACAACTGACAAGACGACAACGCGTCCTAGAGGCGAAACAGAGATCCGCGGAAAAATTGGCTGAAGTAGAACGACGCCTCATCGAACATCAAACTACGTTAGAGCTCGAAGCTCTAGAATATGACGACGATTGCAACAACAGACGGTCGGAGTGCTCCTTACACAGCCGCCCTAAAACACAACCATCAAACACCTTCATTCACATGGACACAAATTATGTCACAGCAAGAAATTGTGAGCAACAAACAATGCCCTCAAACTTTCCCTCTGGTGCATCGGCTAGTGCTAATGTACAAATGAGCAAATTTTTAGCCAGACAAACCACCGAGAAGGATCTACCTTGTTTTTCGGGAGCTCCAGAGGAATGGCCATTATTCTTTAGCCAATTAAAAATCACCACTCAATTATGTGACTATAGTGACCAAGAAAATATTGCGCGATTGATGAAGTGCCTGCGAGGAGAAGCTCGTGATTCTGTATACGCTCTATTGGCAAGTGCTTCAAATTTTGATAAAATTATAGACACTTTAAAACTTAGATTTGGACGACCAGACATCATAATCGATAGCATGTTGTTAAAGATTCGATCTCAGCGAGACATACGACACGATGATATGACACATCTCGTGAAGTATGCTACGGATATACAGAACATGGTGGCTATAATGATTTCGACCGACCAGATTGGCCATCTTAGAAATCCTATTCTGATCAGAGATGTACTAGCCAAATTACCGTCAATTTTGAAATATCAGTGGGGTCTAGACAAGTCACGACGAGGTATGATTGATATTTCCCTCGAAGATATCGCCGAGTGGTTGATGGAAGTAGCAAAATCTACAGCTGAATTTGCAAGGTGTCCTAACATATATTCTTCAGTTGACACGAAAAATCCCAAGCAGAACAGAGGTAATAATAAAAACTTTCCTATTATGACAACGAGTAGAATAAATATAGAGTGCTATAAATGCAAGAAAAATCATTATATAAAGGAGTGCCCTGATTTTCTTTGCCTGTCTATAGACGATCGATGGCTGTATGTTACAGAATCTAAACTTTGTTTTTCTTGTTTTTCACCTGGACATCAATTGAAGAATTGTAAAACAAGATTTAAGTGTGGAGAACCAGGATGTGGGCTCATGCATCATAAACTTCTACATAATGAGCCAAAACAGACGACACCAACCAATGACGGCCCTTCATACCCGCCACGTTCCACAACGCAACTGGAAAATGAAGACAACGAAGTGGTGATCGCTACTACTCATTCTTCAGTACAATCTAGCCAGGTAATGCTGAAAGTTATTCGAGTTGTAGTCAGCGGAAGAAACGGAGACTTCGAGACAGCTGCTCTACTAGACGAAGGCGCATCAGTAAGCCTGATTAACGCGTCGCTTGCCGAGTGCGCTGGCATTGACGGCCCAACACGCCCCTTGCGTATATGTGGCGCGCACGGCATGTCTTCGTTCGACTCTTCATCACGTTGCGTTTCGTTTAAAGTCCGCGGTCGTAACAGTGACAAAGTGTATAATATATTTAATGTTAGAACTATACAGAATTTAAAATTACCTGTTAATACTTGTTATAAAAATATTGTTAGTAGATTCGATTTTTTGACAGACTATTTTGACGAAAGTGACTTTAAATTTAGAAAGATTGAATTACTAATTGGACAAGATAATATCGACCTTATTATTACTCGACAAATAATAAAAGGACCGAAATGTGGACCGATGATTTCTTTTACTAATTTAGGGTATGTTTTGCATGGTACTATTTCTACTGGTAGCCTGTCAAATGACGTGATCGTGTTTCAGTGTTCATGCGAAGACTTGAATGATACTTACAAGAAAACTTTTCGGACTGAAGACTTTGGTGTTAAAGTTAACTCAGATACACCCCGTTCGCGTGAAGATAAAAGAGCTTTGGAACTTTTGAAAGCGACCACACGCTATATACCTGAGCGTAAGCGATGGGAGACCGGTCTTCTTTGGCGGGACCAGAGCTGTCAACTACCTATCAGTTTTGACCAAGCATTTGTCAGACTGCAAGGCATCAAGAGGAAGATGACAAAACTTCCAGATTTTGCTCAAAAGTACCGGGAGAAGATCAAAGACTACGAACAAAAGGGTTATGCTCGTAAACTGACATCCGAGGAGGCACATTGTCGGACTGACAAAACATGGTATTTACCTCATTTTGCCGTTTTCAACCCAAATAAGCCAAATAAATTGCGATTTGTGACTGATGCGGCAGCAAAGTCAGGGGGTAAGTCTCTAAACGATTTTCTATTGCCAGGACCTGACTATTTAAATTCATTACCAGGTATGTTACTCCAATTTAGATGTCACCGCTATGCTATCATGGGAGATATTCAAGAGATGTTCCATCAAGTACTGATCACTGAGCGAGATCAACATGCCCAAAGGTTTCTGTGGGAAGATGGACAGTATCAAATGAATGTCATGATATTTGGTGCCGTCTGCTCACCATCATCTGCACAATATGTCAAAAATGTGAATGCTCTCAGGTTTTCAGATACACATCCCGATGCTGTCAGAGCAATTACGGACCACCATTATATGGACGACTTGATAATTTCAGTGGACACAATTGACCAAGGAATAAGGTTAGTCGATGACGTGATCGACATTCACGCTCAAGGAGGCTTTAATATGACGAGCTTTATGAGTAACTCCAAGGACGTATTGAGACACCTACCTGTAGATAAACTGTCAACTTCTGGAGCTAAGACTTTAGATGATATGCCAGAGTTGGCAGTAGAAAGGGTGCTTGGTGTCAAGTGGAAGCCAAGTGGTGATAATTTTGTTTTCACTAGTCTAACGGACATGGTTGACAGCCAAAGTAATAAACACCCTACTAAACGTCATATCCTAAAGGTCTGTATGTCAGTGTTTGACCCTTTAGGTTTTTTGTTATTCATAATAATCAAAGCACGTATTATCTTACAAGATATTTGGAATACAAAAATAGGATGGGACGATGAAGTAACAGATGAACTTCATGAAAGATGGAAATCTTGGTTACAAGAACTGCGTCAAGCGGTCAATCTACAGGTGCCTAGATGGTTGTTATGCATGCAGTCGGACGCAAAGGGTCCTGTCGAAGTCCACATATTTTGTGATGCTAGTACCAGAGCCTTTGCTTCAGTGGCTTACATGAGGTCAGTCGCACACGACACTTATCATGTATCTTTGATTATGTCTAGAGGACGGGTAGCACCATTGAAGATTTTGAGTGTACCCAGACTAGAACTTCAAGGGTCTTTACTAGGGGCAAGAATGGCACACTCGATAAAGAGGCATGTCGATCTTATGATTAGTCGTGTCGTTTATTGGTCTGATTCCAAGACAGTATTGAGTTGGATTAGATCGGATGCAGGTCGTTTCCAACCCTTTGTCGCCCATCGAATCAGCGAAATTGCAGATCTTACCGATCCTTGTGAATGGAGGTGGGTTCCTACTCATCTCAACAATGCTGACCTCGCGACACGAGAGAAGTTATCTCAGGAGGCCAGCTCTCTTTGGGTAAATGGACCTGACTTTCTTAAACAGGACGAGAGTATGTGGCCTGTTGAAGACACTAGAATGACAGACTTGAATCTTGATTCCGACCCTGAAGTGAAGATTTCATATGTAATCACAACCGTTATAAATGACGGGTTACCTGATATTACTCGATTTTCATCATATTGGCGACTTGTTCGCACGACAGCTTGGATTTTGCGCTTCAAAAGTAATTTGATGAACAAAGGTGAACGCCGAGATGGTGAACTTTTAGCTGATGAGATCAAAGAATCCGAGTTATTGCTTATTAAAGATAGCCAACAACGATCGTTTCCCAATGACTGTTATACCCTAACAACTAGAAATACAGTCGATAAAGATAGTCGTATTTTTCAGTTAGTGCCTTTTATGGATGAGCTAGGA